TGTTTTCATAGGAGGAAAAACAAAGCAAAACAATTGATGAAATGCGTACTAGAGCTTACTTTTCTGAGCAATTTCAGTAAGTTCCTTTTGTACTTCCTCCTTGAAATTTCCCAGCCTAAATGTTTTCAAGTTTTTACAGATTTTAATTATTATAAAAGGCAAAGGAAGTTAACCAGCTACAGAGTTCTTATGGAGTGGAATGCATCATTGTATTTTTGTATGTCTTTAATTTGTCCTGTTAAGAAAATGAATTGTTCATGTATCAGTTGTGCTGGATATGGGCAATTTCTGTAGCTGATGCTTGTAAGATGGCCCTTTTCTATTGTTTAACATTGTAACGTGACTGGCTGTAACTTAGGAAAAGCATTCCTAAACAACATCAAATAGATGGCCATTTGCTCTATACATGTCAGTGTACATCTTTGTAGTACAAAAGCAGTACAAGTTTACCTGCTACATTTCTCTTCATTTTGATTTCTGAAGTCAAACTTTCTTGTTTGTTTCTTTAAGTCTGTGTTTCTAAACGCTTTCCACAGGTAATCTTAGCTGTGTTAGTCTTGATGAGCTGGCAGATCGGAGTGCCTGTCATTTATAGCTTAGCCCCTTGCAGACAATGGTGATGAGATGCTGGTAAATTGGTCTGTTACAGTGCATCCTTGAGACTTCAGCAAGGTGGAGAAGAAGCACTCAGGATTGCTGCTGTTTTGAGGGGTTGCCTGTGACTCATTTTGGAAGCACGGAGTGCTTAATAGCTCTCTGTTTTCCGTTGATTTTTGTTGTTGCTGTTGTTTATGCTATGTGACTTCAATAATTCCTTTTGTCATGCCATTGTTATTGACACGAAGGCAGCTGTTTGCTTTTATTTGATAAAATCAGCGATGGCTGGATCCTTGTTGTGGAAAATATACTTGCATTGTATGGATGTTTCATCCATAAGTGCTAGAATGACTTAGTAGCTTATGTACCATCCTGATCAGTTTATATCGTCCATGCTGTTGCTGAATGCTTTCATTTCACCATTTAAACTCAGAACTGTTAATGCAGAATGTTCTGTTGCATGAATGGTGTTGGAGATGTACAAGCTAAAGGGAAATAGAGAAAAATAGCATATGGTAAATGCCTCTTTATGTACAGTGTTGGTATATGGGATTTTGAGTTGGTTGTGTTGGTTCCCAGACAGAGTTCCAGAGCAGCAATTGGAGGCTTTCATGGCTACTGGAAAGCAAAACACTGCTTTTCATCAAGCTTGGATATTTGCTTTGAGCAATAATCATGTTCATCACCTGGCTGTTGGAATCAGAGCTTCTGTTACGTGTGTAGTTGTATTCCTAATTTAAAAAAAAAAAAAAAAAAAGTTCATTATGGAATTGCTGTGTTCCACTGAGAGTGGTAGCAATGCCTACCTTAATTAATATGCATCTTATACTTTTGGGTTTTGGAGCCAGACTACTGTGACTGACTTCTGATAATAATTACAATGTAATTAACTTACGCTTGGAAATACTTCTTGATATTAGATTCCAGTAGCAAGTCAACCTTTTTTTTTTTTTATTCACTGAATATTTAACTTAGCACAAGAGTGTGATGTGATAACAGGCAAACAAAAGGATAGGTCATGTTGGTTTTTTTAATGTGTGTGTGTGTGTTGTTTGGTGGTTTTTTTTTTCGGTTTTTTTTTTTTTTTTCCAGAGAAGCGTATGTCCTACAAAATTTATTTGCTCAAGGCTGTGTTTTGCAGCCAGAGTAGAAGGTTAGCACTTTACATACAGGCTTCTTTCCTCTCTTTTTTTATTTGTACATCACCCATTTCAGGGCCTACCTAGGGGTTTGGTTGTTGCAATTCTTTTTAGCTTTTGTCAGTACGATATTTCAGCTTTCATCTGTGTTCCCTTCTGAGTAAGACTTCTTATGAATCACTCAGGTTGAAAGGTACATGAAAGGTGCCTGTTGTTTTCTCTGTGTTTCTCTTCATAGTTTTTTTTATTTTTTCTCTGTGCCTCAGGAGAAATTATAATACAGGTTAAGATTTGCAAAGCTGACATTTGTCCTGTCTCCTGGGATGTCAGATAGCTATTTTTTTGCCGGCCCGAAGCTGTTAAATGGAATTTGAGTGGGTTTTTTTGTTTGGGATTTTTTTTTTTTTTTTTTTTTTTTTATTGCTAAGTTCTACATGTTCTGTAGTTTTTGTTAGCTGGAAGTCAGTGGGCTGCAGACATCCCATACATTCAAAACTGTTGATGCTGCAGTTTTCCTGATGTGGCTGCATCAATCGAATAGAATAACACCCCGAACAGAATCCTGGCTGTGCTAATGTATAATTACTGATTTTCAGTATAATAGACAGTGTCACACATAAGGCTCTGTGTCAGGCTATGAAAAATTAAGCTCATGGTGCCACTCTGTAGGGGCCAAGGAGAAGAGAGGAGTTCACATCGTCACCCTCCTGTCTGTTGCACGGCTGGTCCCAAGAGACGTGCAGGGAGTTTGGGCTCCCAGGTGCAATTGCATATTCTGGGATTTATTTTTCAGTTTTGTGCATTCTGTTTTGTTAAGTTAGTTCCTTAATCAAGAGTGTGTTGTCTTCAGTTTTTAAAATCACTTCTCTTTGGTGTGAAACAGCAGAGATGCATAATTTACCTTCAGCTGCAGATAGAGACAAATAACAGACAGCTGCTCAGTGACATCCAGAACATACTTATTCTTGTAAGTATCCAAGAAATTAAGCAATATAATTGAAATTTCACAGGAAGCGCTGAAGGATTTCATATTTCACGGTTTTAAAACAAAATGTTCAATTAAAGCAGTTTAAATGCATTTTTAAAGCAATTAAAAATATGTTTCTATGGACACGGTTGTATCAACACAGCCCACTTACATTTAAACTGATTTATATGACCACAAAAGGAGTCTGTCAGCATAAGTTATTAAAAAATGTGATTTAATGTAACCAGTCTGTGCTGTCAAACTTGACTGAAGTGCAGTTTTGTGTCTTTTTTAATGCTTATTAATCTATACCAGTAGGTGATCTGGCATTAGCAGCTGTGAAACTGTGTCCTGATACAGCAGCAGCAACATGTTTTTCCAGCCTTTCCTCTTTTATTGCAGCTGTAAATGTTACTGGTCCTGCTAAAAGGTGCTGAGGATTCCTTTTTTCTGACTTTTTTTTTTTTTTCCAGATTGTGTAGCTTTTGGTTAGAGCATAAATGTAAGGTGGTTTTTTTTTTTTTGTTTTTTTTTGTTTTTAATTTGTTCTGTTCCCCCAGTTACAAAAGTAACTCATGTATGGAAGTAGACTTTCCTTAATATTTATGCAAGTCTCTCCAAAAGTAATTTCTCCTATTTATTTCCATGGAAACTACAACACATGCAAAGTGCACAATAACACTGTTTGACAGAGCAAGTTTTCAGCTACAAAACACTATTTTTCATCGTGGTTACCAGCATTAGCTGTGCATTTTCACTTTTGATAAACAGGAGCCTGCATGCCACGCTCATAAAAATCTTCATGACTGCCTGGAACATGGCTTGTCTTTCACATCGTTGTCACCACTGCTGAAATGCACCACCCACCACATCACTGTGCCAACATCCACTGTTTGGTCTCCACAAACATTCAGCAAGTGTTGACGAGTGTCAGTGGGTGCCATTTTTTCCTCATGGAGGAATTCAGTCCCATACTTGTGCTCTGTACACATTTCCGTCAGACTCCACTCTGTCAGACTACTCCTCTGCTGCCATCTGTCACACAGCAACAATATGTAATGGGATGTTGGCAGGAAGGTTCAACCTCTACTTTTGTATTGCCAAAATCATAAAATAGGAGGCATTACTTTGTGGCTGTCTTTGTATTCACTAGTTTTGCTACTTGGTCTTTTTTCATTGTTCAAAGGTATTTAACTTCATTGTTAGTTCCACAAATTTCCAATAGGCATCAGCTACTGTAGTCTAGTTTCATGATTAAACTATTGGTACGTATGACCATGACTGTTATTGTGTGTATGTGTGTTTTGTTTGTTTTTAAGTGAAGTGTTTCCTTCAGCTCTGTGAAAACTTGGTAAATGCAGCTTGACAGTTCTTGTGTGCAGTGTTGGAGGGTCAGGATGTACTTGTCAGTAAAATCTGCAGCGAGTTAAGCTTTGAAGATGAACTGAAAAGCAGGCGGGGGAGGTTGCTTTTGTTTTATTTGTAATTGTGATGAATCCAGCTGTATTTTCACATACAAATAGCTGTGCTGCCCCTAGCCATCAAACATTCATGATTGGGTTGCTGCCCAGCTCTGCCACTCCAGTATCAATTGATGAATCAGAGCATTTCTTTGGAAGTATGGGCAAGGGGTTGTTTTCCGATTCTTAGATACAGGATTGCATAAGAAAATGATTTTCTGCACTTCCTATGAACAAAATGAAATAGAGGAATAAAATTTGTCTGTGGATGTGAACCAGGTACCTTAAATATAGAAGTGTTCTTACTAAAAACAAACCCAATATTTCATGTAAAAAATCATTTCTTGTATCTCCAACCCAGATGTTGTAGAACTGAATAACATTCTGAAAGGAAGCAAATTTTTGCTCTAGTTTCAATTAACTTGTAACATCTTTTTCTAGGAGGTTTTTAAATGAGTTGGAATCTCATAGGTGGTAATGGTTTTTTGTACATTTTCCCAGTAGACATTTTGACGCTTATTTAACTGCAGAGCAGTGTTTGCTGCCTGCTTGTAGCACTGATGGTGCTAGGAGGTTGGTGCGGGGAGCCTGTCACTCCCTGTGGGTAGAAGGGAGAACCAGTGAGCAGAGACGACTGAGTGAAAAAAGATGCAATAAACACGACAGTCCCAAGGCTTTATTTTCTAGAAACCTGTCATTTCCTGTGGTCTTGTATGTGAAGCTCAGTTTGCCAGTCTGCTTATCCCTGCACCCATGGCTTTGCAAAGGAAGGCACCTGTTATTTTCCTTCCTGAGTCAATTCAGTTGATTAACTGGGTGGATTTGGTTTTATTACAGGAAGAATAGCTTTTTGCTAAATGAGTGTGCCAGTGCAGCTAATTGAGGAGTCCAATCAGTGCAAGAGTGGGAGGGGGGACCTCTACTGGCAGTGAGCAGCTGAGCTCAGCTGCATGGGAAGGCAACAGCAGGTGAGCAGAAAAAATATTAAGGCCCATTTGGTTGATTATGTGCTCTTCTTCCAGAGATAATCTGCAACTCAGGAGCTTTGTGATCAGGGCGGGGCTTCTGAGAAATGGATTTAAGGCACTGGAGAAGCATATGATAATGATTGTAAGAAGCATAATGATAAAGGGGAACGGCTGCTTACGAGGGTGGATGGTGATAGGACAAGGGGGAATGGTTTTAAACTAAGACAGGGGAGGTTTAGGTTAGATGTTAGGAGGAAGTTTTTCACCCAGAGGGTGGTAACACACTGGAACAGATTGCCCAAGGAGGTTGTGGATGCCCCATCCCTGGAGGCATTCAAGGCCAGGCTGGATGTGGCTCTGGGCAGCCTGGTCTGGTGGCTGGCAACCCTGCATATAGCAGGGGGGTTGAAATGAGGTGATCATTGTGGTCCTTTTCAACCCAGGCCATTCTATGATTCTATGATAAAGATTGGAGAAGTGTAAGATAAATCAAGTCCACAATTTTATTTGGGAAAAGAACGTGTGAGGCACGAGGCTTTGCTTTGTGAGGCTCCATGTGCCCATCAAAAACTTTTCATGCAAATGAACAGCAACACCTGCGGATAGATCAGGTTGCTCAGAGACTCTTCCAGCCTGGCCGTGGGAGTCACATGCTGCAAAACATTGATCTACTGTAAGTTTGTCAGGTCAAGATGGGACCAGAAGAATGAACATAGGAATTTCAGAGAAGTTTTTTGAAAGGATCTCTACTGAAGAACAGAGAAATTATCTGCTCCTTGATTCCTATAGTGCTAGTACTTTCAGGTAATTGTATGTACAGTCTTACCTGGGAAAAGAAGTTTCCAGATTAGCTGAGCTCCACTGAAGTGTAGTTCTACATCTGAATGTTTGCTGCTGCTTAACTGAGATCCTTGTGAGCTGGATCATTTTGTCAAGCCTTCAGGAAACTAACCAAAATGTATAATTTTATGCTCAGTTAACAACCTAAAATAGCTAATTATGTAGCTTACAGAAGCAGTAATATCGAAGACAGAAGGAAGGTGAGGCTATACATGAGCGACTTAATTTCCTTACGCTGTCCTTCTATACCTTTTGCCTTTTCCTGGGAATTTGGAGAAATTGGGTATTTGTGTAACTTTTAGGAGATGCTTGCTGGCCTGTTTTGATGAAAAATGTTTAGAACATTTTCTGAACGCAATTTAAAGGAAACCATATTTATGCAAGGGAAGCTATTTAGATAGTTGCTGAAGGATATGCTTGTCTGTGCTGTTCCATGTCGGTATTAATTAAATAACATATTATACATTTTGGCCTTAATTCTTTGGACAGACCATTGGCAATGCAGAGTAGGGTAGTTTCAAACCTGAAATCTCAGTGACTAACGTATGAAAACCAGTTTTCTTTCACCTTCATCTTTTTCAAGCTATATAGTATATACTTCTTGTTAAGAACTTTGTGTACGCTCAGTTTTTATGTTAGTTCTATAATGGACCTTATTTTTTCCAGTGAAATCATAGAATACCTTGAGTTCTTGATCCTTGGGATCTCTTCCAAGTCCCAACCCCCCTGTCACAGGCAGGCCCACCAACCTCCAGGTGTGGTACCAGGCTGCTCTGGGCCCCATCCATCTGGGCCCAACCTGGCCTTGAATATCCAGGGACGAGGCATCCAGAGCCTCTCTGGGCAGCCTGTTCCAGCACCTCACCACTCATAGTAAAGAACTTCCCCCTGACATGCAATCTAAACCTTCCTTTCTTCAACTTAAAACCATTTCCCTTTGTCCTGTGACTGTCTACCCTTGTAAAAAGTTGATTCTCCTCCTGTTTATAATCCCCTTTTAAATACTGGAAGGTTGCAATGAAGTCACCTCATGGCCTTCTCTTCTCCAAGTTGAAAAGCCCAGCTCCCTCAGCCTGTCTTTGTAGAGGAGGTGTTCCAGCCCTCTGATCATCTTTGTGGTCCTCTTCTGGATCCTCTTCAACAGCTCCACATCTTTCCTGTATTGGGGCCTCAGACCTGGACACAGTATTCCAGATGGGGCCTCATGAAGGCAGAGTAGAGAAGGACAATCACCTCCTTGTCCCTGCTGGCCATCCCTCTTCTGATGGAGCTCAGGATACCATTGGCCTTCTGAGCAGCAAGAGCACATTGCTGGCTCATGTTTAGTTTTTCATCCGTCAGGACCCTCAGGTCCTTCTCTGCAGGGCTGCTCTCAGAGATCTTTCCTTTCGGTCTGTATGGATGCCTGGGATTCCTCCAACCCAAGCGCAAAACTTTGCACTTTGCTGTGTTGAACCTCATCAGGCTCACATGGGCTGCCTTTCAAGTTTGTTGAGGTCCCTCTTGGTTGCAAAACAGGTTCCCTAGTGAAAAACAGATACAAAACAGATGGGAAAACAAACAAACAAAAAACATTGGAAACACTATAGCTAAAGTAGCTTTTAGGAAATCTATCAGCTGTAGGTAAAAATATAGTTAATAGTATTTATTGAAAGAAAACTGAAGTTGTAATAATTGCAATCTCATCACTGTGCATTTGAAAATGAAAGTATACTGTGAGGGCATGTGCAAGCATTAACATTCCTAGTTCCCTACTGTCATACTGAAATATAATTTTACTTTGAGATATAAAGCAATTCCACTTGTTTAATATCTATCAATATCTGTCTGTCCCCACATATCATCATAAATCCAGTAATTATAGTTCAGCTAAGTGAATATTACTTGGCTTTCTGTAGAGACAGTACATTTTTATTTTCTGTTGTGAATACATCATTAACTCTCTTCAGCAACTTAATCAGTGTTTTTATGCTGCTTTTTCTTTTTGCTCTGTTAGTTGGGAATAATAATCACTGGGTTAAATGGGACTTGATTTGTAGTTTTTTAGTATCTGTTTAAGTATCTGTTTCATTGATTATTATTTTTTTAATCAAATCAAATAATTTGAAAATGTTTCAGTCTTTCTTCTACAGTTTACATATTTTAATGTCATTGTGTTGTGTTGCACTCTTTAATTATTTTTGCGAAGAATTTGCAATATTGATTTAATTAGAATTGCACTGAGTAGAACCTGATTTCAATTAATTGATTTTGAAACGCTTTGGCTTTAAACAGTACTGTGCTAGAGAAATAGGAGAATCTGAATTAAGCCAAAGCAAACAGAGCAGAAATCTCTTATTTTCTCTTACATAGTTTGTCTTGCTAACATGGCTTCTGGAGAAGTGTATACTTGCTTCAGAATAACTTGAGTGCTAACTAAATTCAGACAGGAAATGTTCCTTATGCTTTGAAAATACATTCAGTCATTGCCAGTGCATGCCATATAGAAGCAATGAAGTAATTTATCTTTTTGTTGATGTGACCAGTATTAACTACATTCTTCCATTTTTTCTGTAGTTAAAGTACCTCGTAATTTTCGCTTGTTGGAAGAACTTGAAGAAGGGCAGAAGGGAGTAGGTGATGGTACAGTAAGCTGGGGCCTTGAAGATGATGAAGATATGACACTCACCAGGTGGACAGGCATGATTATTGGGCCACCGAGGGTAAGCGTGACAATAAAATGTTGCAAGCACTACAAAATGCCAACTGGAAAAGGTTACTCCCTACATTGTAAGGGAATTAGTTGAAAGGTGGTGTAAAATTCATTGAAGGTTGTAGTTGTGGTTGAAAAACTGTATATTCACATTAGAAGTCATCATTTTCTGGCATGTTAGTGTTTTCAGTCCAGCCTCCAGTCTAGTACATGTTTCTGCAACTGTTTAAGCCAGTTGTGTTTTTACACTTTCTACTGAGTTAGAAATATACTTAGTCAGTATTTCCATCATTACTGCCCATAAATGTGCAGTGACAATGCAGTCAACAGGGTAAATTTCTTTCCAAGGTTCAAGTCTGTGCCTAGCAGTTTTAGTTCTGTAGCAAAGATTTATCAGATAGTCTTTTAGTATTGCAATTTATGCAGTCTTCTTGAATCGGTCCTAAAGAACAAGCAGTTGTTAGTTACTTCTAATAGGATAAAGTTTATAAATAATAATAGGAAAAAAAAGTCAAATCCTTCTGACCTTTTAATTTCTATGAAATATCATCTCTTCTGAAAGCCTGCAAGAGATGTAATCATCCCTGATGTGAGTATCAGCCTTACCTGATATGAGTGAACACATCTTCACCTAACATGTAACTTTTGTGCAAGCTTGCTAATGAGTTAATATGATACAAAGGATCACCATTTAGGACTTTAAATGAGTTTACTTCCAGCAGCTCTAAGTTAGCACATCTTTCACTGCTAACACGAGTATACTGTCTTGTGCCTCCTTTGGTGCTGGAGGGCTTATTGACTTATCCAAGACAAGAACTGAGATCAGAATTTGACCTCAGTGAAGATAATGAGTTCCAGAGTTACATTCAGTGTAATTCAAGCTCCTTTTGGAAGTCAATTAGCTGCAGCATGCAGCAGTCTGTTTAGAATATCTGCATAATTGTATGGAACTCCTGAGACTTGGATATGTTTGAGACAGGACCAATTTAAAATACAAACGTAACACGAGTATGCCTGGATACTGGGTTGTGTGGAGTCACAGTATTCAAATCTGTTCAGAAGAAAATTTGTTATAGTTTCCAGAACTGTCTGGCTGATTTCTGGTTTCACCTAAAGCAGATTCTTAATGCACCTTTGAAGGAAGTGATTATTATGTAGGAGGCTAAAGGATTTTACTAAAAACAGAACAAACCTCTGAGATGCAGTTTACATTCCAGTCAAATTATATTGTTTATTTTTTTTTCTTTCTGACTTTCTATGTAAAAGAGTGCAAGCAAGTAATATTCTGGACCATGTTACAGACTTGCAGTCTTGCTTAGAGTAGAAAGAATTTCAGTATGTGGAGACCATGGATAGTAAAAGCCACCAGCTCTCAAACCAGGATGGTACCTCAATGAAAAGAGCTGCGCATCCAGTTTTGGTGTTTGTAGAAGATGGGTGTTTTTGGAATTGGTTGAGTTAGGTAGAGAGTGTGCAGCTTGGCTGAGCACAGGGAAAGTTGCTAATACTTCCCACAGCATGAAGTTCTTCATATACCAGTCTCTGGAGCTGTGCAAGGAATTGCTTATCAATGTTTTCTTACTTGATTTGCAAGGTGAACCAACAAGGAAAGGGGAGGAGAAATTTGTTTTGAATGAAAGGAAACATTTTTCTGACCATGGAAAAATGCTTTTGAGACTCTTGGGGGAGCTGGTCATGGACATTTAACTTACAGTTAAGCATCAACTGGAAAAGCACAGCAAAATTGAAAAGCTGCCTGGATTGGAATGAGGGAATGTGAATGAGTGCCATTCTCAAGAATTTTCAGAGTTGTGAGTAATGGATGTACATTTTGGCCTGTTTCCACAACTGACAGCATTCTTCTCTGAAACGTGGTAGCACATATATTATCTGTAGCAGGACAAGATTAGTTTTTTGGGCTTCCTGCTTGTAGTGGGTAATAACAGTAGAAAATCTTTTTTTAAATTTATTTTTATTTTTTTTGTAGAAAGGTATCCTGCTTCCTTTTGTTTCTTTCTGACCCAGTTGTTGGTTTATCTGTAGCTTCTTGAAATTACAGGACATGGTTAGGATCCTTCATGTGGCTGCCATTTACTTGGACACAAAGTGAACTTTTGACAATTAGACATTGAAGTTGATTCTTCTACTTGGAGTGAGTGACAGCTGGCTGATGCAGAACAGCTTGCAGATGGTACTTTTTGAAAGTTTGGCAGCATCTTTTTGCTGCAGGTTCATATTAGCAGTAGGCGTTGTGTAGGAGCTGGGTTTATATTCCTTTTGGAGTGCAGGCACTTGTGCATCAGTGACCAGTGGAGATGCTGATGCTTTTTATCGTGCATGTCCTACTTGACAAGAAAAAAAAAGTTAGAATTGTGTTTATTTTTGATTGGATTTTCTCAAGATATACTTAGAAACAAATAAGAATGAACTGTTAATGAACTCTTCCACAGTCGTTTTGGAGAGGTGTCTTCTGCAAAGGTGCTGTCACCTAATTACACTGCCTGAAATTAATAAATGCTTTGGTAAACCAATTTTTAGGGCCATTTCTTGATTTCATTCCTCTCTGAAATATTTACTTGCTTAAAAATTCTCAGCAATGGGAGTCTTAGAAATTTTCTGGAGTGCTACTTACTTCTAGAATATGTATTTTTATTTTTCATCTTCTTTTTTGCTTGGTTATTCTCACCTTTATCTTTCCCTGTTCCCTTTTTGTTTTCTCTAAAGATTATTTTCTTCCTTTAGCTCCCTGCTGTGCTAAAAGTGCTTTGGCAATGCAAATGGAGTAAATGTGAATTAAAAAAAAATTCTGTTAAAATCTTTCGTATGGTACTGTCAATAAGTAGTATAATTTATAGAAACTCATCAGCTAACCAACATAACCAAAACAGTGGGATATCAGTTACTAATCCAATACTATCAAGGAGTACATAATCATAATAAGTTTAATTATTTTGTATTTCTTTGTCTTTATTCCTCTTGCCTTTGCTTTTTGTTATTTTCTGAATATTCAGCTTTCAGTAAGATGCATTAGTCTGTCTTTTTGCTTTCTAGACAAACTATGAAAACAGAATATACAGTCTGAAAGTAGAGTGTGGACCTAAATATCCAGAAGCACCTCCTACAGTTAGATTTGTAACTAAAATTAATATGAATGGAATAAATAATTCCAATGGAATGGTAAGTTGAAATGGTAAGACCAACAATATTGTTAATCTGTACTATAAACTATTTATATCCCAGATGAGGATTATGCATGTTGGAAGGAGTTTTCCTATTTAAATTGTACAGTATGAAGTACTTGGTTTAAATGAAATTTTGGTTGCCTATTGCACACATTTAAATCTTAAGGTGTTTACAGTATTTTAGTGGCTCTCAGTGGCTTGTTAGTGAGAGAGGCATTATTTATAATACTGAAACTCTTGTTTCTCTGAAATAAAATCAAAGGCTTTAATTTTGCACAGGAAAAAAAAATGTTTACGCCATATATTTTCCATGGATTGCTCTTACAACAATGATATTAGATTCTATCCTAACAGGAATGCTGTACTAAAGACCATTTTTTGTTTAGTTAGTAAAGTTTGTTTTAGTATCCAAACTTTATCTGATATTTCCATTAATTACAAATGGAAATGTTTCTGCCTGAATCGTATTGTGGATGAACTGATGTGTTTAAATGCCTATTTTCTTTATAGTGGGTTTATTCAGATCTGAGATTATTTTTAAGCTTCAGTCTTAAAGCCTTTTAATATAGGTAGTAACTGCTTTCATATTAAAGATCCATTTGCAGTGAATTACATTCTTAGCAGTGTGTTTGAGCTGTTGTGAGTCTTAAAAGTATACTGATCATCCAAAGCCAGTGAACTAACACCTCAGCAATAGTTTAAAGGGGATTTGAAATTTCTTCCTGCATAGTCAACAACCCAACTCTATCTGAAGATCTTATTAAAATTGCTGTCTACAAACCAGCTGTTGCTCTTTATTCCAGCTGTAGCTTATAATCTCAGTATTTGTATTTATTAAGAGGTTGTGACCAGCCAAAGCTGCCAATCTGGAATGCAGTAGAGCTTTTGGTATGTTTATAATATTGTTTTCATACGTCCCCCTTGTAACATGTATTGTTCTGAATCAGTGAAGAAGTATGTTGTCATTAATTCATCTGTGCATGCCTGAGAATATAGCTGCTGGTTTCCAGAAGCAAAATTTCAGGCCTGCAGAGCCTAAAAGCTTGTGTTTACTGAGCCCATCTGCTTGGAGCTTGTGTTTGGAGAAGTCTGGACTCCCTCAGCCTGATGAGAAAGGGGCTGAATATTGGGACCGGAAGTTTGACGGGTGGTTTTAAAAGCACTGATAAAATTCAGTCGTTACTATAGGAAAATCTGATTCTAATTCATTTGCAGCAAAAGTTCATTCTTACCCCCAATGGTTCTGGCAGATAGAATACATTATGAAGGATTTGCTGTGCGTGCAGATCTTTAACTGTACGTGTTTCATGGATTTCAGTAGGAATAGGTTGTACTTCTAACGTAAACCGTTCGCAGCACTAACGAATTTAAAACTCACTAAGTGATTTTTTGATGTACCCTTTGTCTTGATTTCTTGTGTTTTTAACTTGTTTTGCTGTTGTTCTCACTAAAATTGTGCCAGACATATCAGATAAAGTGGAGGCACATTTTACAGTTGAGAGCACAGAACTGGAATTCTGACGGAGAGCTGAGTTTGGCTTTGCTCCAACCTAGTTTTTCATTTTTGGTTAAGCCACTTATCTGTGGTGTATTCTGTGTGGATAGAAATGTCACGTTTCTGGAGAAGTGATACACAAAGAGTGTACAAGATATAGAGGCAGTTCACTTGTGCTGAACAGATTCTTTTCTAATGGAAAGGGTAAGAATAAGAAGCCATTCTATCTAAACATGAGGGAACATTTCCCTGTGTGAGCGATAGCACTGGCACAGACTGCCCAGAGGCTTTGTGGTCTCCTCCTTGGAGATTTTCATATGCCACCTGGGCACTTTGCTCTGGGCTGGGGCTGAGACAGGTGGACCCAAAGGTCTCTTCCCAAGAGTAGGATAACTTTATATTTTCTTAGTTCCAAATTCAAAAAAACTAGACAAATCTTGGTTTTCATTTTCAATCTTCTAAGCATGCATTTCAAAAATAGGGCTTTAAGTAAAAACTTTTGTTTATAGTGTGAGTATGGATGATAGTATATGCATACTCTAAAAGCTGTTTAGCTTTTCATTAAAGCTTCTTTTTAAACGTTAGTGAAAATTTGTGTGTTTTTTTTTTCAGAACCAGGTGTTATTTAGAAATTCTAAAGCAATTCTGATCATAATAGAGGTCTCTTTGCAGTAGTTCTGTGCACATATGTTCCAGCTTGCTGCAAAATACTGGAAAGCAGAATAAATGTATGTATGTTTAATGGATGAAAGTATTATTCTGTTGCCTGAGCCACAAACTCAGATTCCTTTTCTTCTAAAATGTGCTCCAGCTTCTTTGGAATAGTTCATGTTTCTGCTTCCTATTTTATTTCCTTGTCTCTCTGAAGCTGCTCTCTCACTGATTCTTTCATATAATAGATCATAAGTGGTTTGCTGCATACTTTGAATGATTGAAGATGACAGTGTTTTGTCTTCAAAGAAGCTCTGCTATCTGTATTTCTGCAGCCTCTTTGTTCACTCATGGCCGTCTTTTGATCACGTTACTTGTAGATGTCATGAAAAATATTGATGACTTGCAGAATAGAAGCCCAAGATAAACAGCACCAGAAGTGTTGCCATGACAATATTATAGTAATACTCAAAACATTTTTGGCAGTGTTAAAGTATACAAAATAATTATGCCATTGCTCGAGGTAGAGTCCCCAGCATGAGCTTCAAGGATAATAATTTCTTTTGAGTTAAGTGTGAAAGGTGGAGGGGAGTGATGGATGTGTACTGGAGTTAATGTTAGCGTAAGAAAGCTAGTTTTAAACTGCTTCTGTGTTTTCCGTTAGAGTGCAGTTATGTGTGTTGAGTTTATTCTTACTGACTGTTGGAATATTTTGACTTCCAGTTGGATTGTTTTGGGAAGGAACTTGTGCTTGTGAGTGAATTTTCCATCAGCAGCATAACTTCAGAGACATTGTAGAAAAGGAGAGGGCTGCTTTAAGGGTATTTTGTGTAAGAAGGCCTAACTTAGGTTCATTGAATCACCCTTGGAAATTGCATTTCTTATTTGCAAGCTTTAGCATGTGGTTTTCTGCTTTTCAGTTTGCCTGTGGAGCTACTGAGTTTGCACACAGGACTGGGGTCCTAATTTCAGAAAAGCTAGTCTGAGTACTTACATATGGCTGGACAAAATGCTTTTCTGTGCTAATGGTCATTGTTGTACAACTGTATTTAAATTATTGTTCTTAATGCTGTAGAGTGTTTTTGGTGGGTTTTTTTTTTTTTGTTTTGTTTTTTTTTAAGTTTTAATTCTGTATCCTGTATTGATGAAATGCAGGTTGTGTTCTGGTATGCTATTTATTTTCACATGGTCTTTTGGAGGTGTCTAATTTTTGAGCCTCTGAGAGTTTTTTTAGCAGTCTGTCTTGCAGGATTTGCATCACAAAAACTTACAGCTGGAAATCCTTGTTACTTATAAATTTACTTGGGCCTCTGTCAACTATAATTCCGTCAAATGCTGTCCAGTTACTGCTTTGAGTGTGTTTATTGTAAACTAAGCAGTTTGCTTCTGCTTTAAGTTCTCCTAAAGTTACTGAGAAAATTATAAATACCCAATACTTGGCAGCATTTTGGAAAATTATTTGTTTTGATTCCAGTAATTTAGTGAAATAACGTACATAATTTCTCCTTTTTTTAAAGTTACATTTACAGTTGTGTACCCCAGAAAAAAAACAGTCCTCAGATTGCATTTTTCAGCCCTATTAGCCTTTATGCCATCCAGAAACTTCTTCCTCTTATATATAACAGATGCATCCTTCAATATTACTTAGATGCTCTTGTGTGATTTGAATGTTACATAGTTTGTGTCAGCCTTCCAAATATCTTAGCGTTGTTCTTCATAAAGTGAATTTACTGCACACTGTCTAAATGGGAAATACATTCTGCAGTGCAATTCCTGAGCCAAAATCTTCACTGCTGTAAGATGTCATCAGTAAGTCGGTGACTTGCAAAAAGAGCCTTGAGATAAACAGCAACAAAATGTTATGTTGTAGCAGTCTTTACTCAGAAAGCATTCATAACTTTAAGACAGAGTTTACAGTCTGTGAGCTACTATTACAAATTCCCAGCCAAAAAGAAAGGCTGAAGAAGCTTACTTTGGAGTGATCCCTTCTCATATTCCAGCACAGCTAGAATGTAGAACTGCATTGCTTAAACATCAGTGATGACTGATCACTAAGTGCTGCAACTGAGGCTGAGTGCATGCTTGAGATAGACTAAAAAGGTGAAGTTGTGGAGAATCAAGAAAAAGGAAGATAGTTTTGGAGCAGAACTGCAAGGCTGAAGGCAGATGTTCACTGGAGGAGTCCCAGAAAAACTGCCTTTCCATCTATTTTTTGCTAACTTGGTCCTTATCTGAACAGATACTAAGTTTTCTCTTTCAAACCTACTGAAAGCTAAACCTGCCTTTCTCTTCTTACTCACATTGGCTTACTGTTGTCTTCTAAAGCCACCAGTTGTTGATTACCGCATAATTACCATAGCCTCCAATGTGTGCATTTCTCCTGCTTTTCTGTTGCAGCTGTTGTCTGGTCCTTGGCCTCATTTACCTTTACTTCTTTCCCGTAGTTCTTCTTGGGGGAGATGACTGGTTTTCAGGGAGATTATTGATGTGATTTCTCCTCAGCTACTGAGGGTGTTGTATTTCAGGCCAATATGGAAGTTGTTTAAATTACAGGTCTGTCAAAGGGCACAGACCAGAGCAGTTGGGGAGTACTCATATTTTGTTGTATTTCTCTGAACAGAAGAGGATAGTAGGTAAGCTGCAGAGAAGTATTAGCAAGTGATAAGTGTGTATACATGTGTAGGGAAAAAGGACTTCTTAATCACCTGCAATAAAATGCAAAGTGAACATATGACCTGGCATTCATTTCATCTGTTACTGAGATTTTGCTGCTTTTATCTACCACACTAAACCAAATACTTGTGTCAGAAGAAGAGTCCAGGAATTACCGTGATGGTCTGACTGTTGATCTAGTGGGTAGCAGCCCTGCCCGTGTCAGGGGTTAGGGTTAAAGATCGCCTAGTTTTAGGGTGATCTTAGGGTGATCTAGTTTTAACCCATGTTAGGGTTAAAACTGGGTGATCTTTAAGGTCTCTTCCAACCCAAGCCTTCCTAGGATTCTAAGACTATAGTGTTACTTTGAAAACTTTCCTGTGTAAACTCATGCACTTATTGGTTACTTCAAACTGCCATGACCTTGATGCATAAGATAACTTTCCTTTTGATCTCCTTTCTTAATTATTACAAACATTTATAAATTATGTATTAATCTTCCTGCCTTTTATACTGTGGTTTGATGATGTGAGGTCTTTTGCAGCGGTGCTGGCTATATAAGGAGCTCTGACTCTAGGCAGAACGTTCTTTGTACAAAGAGAAGTGCTGAGCTGTGAATTGGATCAAGGATCCTGCCCTCTATCACTTCACATCACAAAGAAGGCCTACAAGCATTTCACGGCTCATCTGAAATGCTGATACACAGTAGCACTGCTATGGGGAAAAAGTGCCTAGTGAGAGGGAGAATTTTCTTGAGTTCTTATTGCTACCTACACCAGCATGCTGTTAAGCTTTGGCATCAGTTTCCTCTTACAAAAAGGTTTAGTCTCATCTTCTGGTGTTCTGAAAATAGCCTCAACTTGAACAATCTAGAAAGAAAATGCTTCTGCTAGAATTCTTTCTAAGGACAGTGAAGTTTTTTTGTTTTTGCTTTTTGTTCTAATGAGAAGGAGAGAAGAAGCTTCATGATGCTTTATACAGCCTAAATTAGAAATCGGTGACTTTTCAGCACATTTATAGCCTCGTGGCCTACCTGCATTACTGTGGCAATGGAACTCAGCATTGTGCAGTTGCCTATTCTTGTCCTTGGGGCTCCTTTGCTGTCCACTGCTTTGGGCTCCCTAAGATCTTCTTAGGATGCTCTGTGCAGCCTGAGTGGACAGGACGTACCTGCTGCCAAAACAGGCTGATTTTCATTTGGTGACTTGTGCTTGCCTATTGAAACCTCTCTGTTGTGTTGTGATTGTGGAAGTTATCTCACAGGTTTAATAAATGAATAGGAAAAGTCCACATGTAAGTAATCTTCACAGCTCCATTAAATAATTTACTGCAAGAACAATGTGAAGAACTAATAAATGGCTCAACATCATGAATCAAGTATTTCAGGCTATTTCTTAGCATATGTACTGATACTTGGTATATCAGAAGCACCACATAATATCAGTATAGAATAATCACAAACTGATACTTGAAGCAAAGGAAATATTCCTTAAGAGAGGTATTTGCAAGCACTTGTGTGTCAGTGTTTTCCTCAGCTCTTTAAAAACCCAAGTGTATATATTTAATATATACTTAATGAAGGTGATTTTTTTGAGTCATTTGAAACAAATTGGTAGAATTGAATTTTGTGAGGTATGGTTCCAGTTTAGCAATGAACTATTTACTGACTTCTTCTCCACTCACCCCATCCTTTTTGTTCTCACTGATGTTAATATCAGCACAGGCGGAGGGATCCACCTGCATGGGTTTTATTGCAGAATCTGTATCTGTGCAACTGTATGTTTATTTTCCTAAAAACTGTGTTATGAGCACAGTTCATAAAGTGGGGACTTTATGCCACAGAGAAATTGTCAGAGAATGTTTTGACTCTTTCTTAGAAGCATTAGGTCAATAGCAGTAATTCATACATAGGTTTTTGTTAATTATTATTTCATTATAACTTACAACTTTCTCTTTTCTTTCCAGGTGGATGCACGGAGCATACCAGTGTTAGCAAAATGGCAAAATTCTTATAGCATTAAAGTTGTACTTCAAGAGCTAAGACGTCTAATGATGTCCAAAGAAAATATGAAGCTTCCACAACCTCCAGAAGGACAAACTTACAACAATTAATTTTAGCTGATTCTCAAACTTCTGTCTTAAAACAACAACCTTCTACTCATGTTAATGTCTTGATTAAATCTCACAATGCAAACACCCACACATTAAAAGAATTTCAGCTGGTATACATGACCTGGACATTTGTAAGAATATATATAATATATGTATGCCCAATATGTTTTCAGGCACTATGGGAGAAAAAGGCAGCACAATTATTTTTTTCTCTTACCAAGGCACTGTCATTTAAGCATAAGCCTGGAATAGCCTAAAATTGGAATTCAGGTTTTACAAGATGAAAGCATGACAGGAAGTGTCAGATTGCTGTGGAATAATATATGTTTCTGAAAATAATCTCTTGAGAAGGCAAAATATAAATGGCATGCTTTATCCATCTTGCTTAGTAAAAGAGCTGCAGTTAAAATTTGTTTTAAAGTAGCAGGTACAGTGAATACCGTTGCTCATCTTGTTTAATTTTGCAAGGGTGTGGGTACCGACTACTAGTAGTGTCACAAAGTATGTTCAGGATTGTTTTGATACCTGTATTTATAAAATGGGGGGATTAATTTCTGTTAAGCAGCTCCTGTGTGTTACATGTATTGGACATGGCAAATATTTGTTTACAGTCTTTGTTCTAATAAACCATGCATTTAAGTTTTAGTGAAACAAAGGAAATGTATGGATATGTGATTGAGATTAAAGTTAGTCTTAAAATGTAAATAAAATGTGGAAAGTGTCTGAGGCTGTGCCATTTCTATAACAGTGATGTATTATATGTACAGTAACTTGCAGAAGTAGTGGAAAGCCAAACATAATATTGCTGCTGGTTTTACATGCACCTTCTATTCTTACATTTTGTATGCTTAGTTTACTTTAGAGGTCAAGGTATTTCTTTGGCAGCAGAGTAACGTCTGTCATCTCTGCTACCACTTCTTTATACAAACTTGCACTGTGCATGTAAAGAAAAACAAAAAACCAAACAGCCTCCCCTCCTCAAACCAAAAGCAAATATCTCATCTATCAGATCCCCCTATGCCTCCCCTCCAGAATCTTTTGAGAAATGAGCACAACTTTCAAGTGACTTACTTGACCTCTGAGCAGTTTTCAGACCGCACTTCTGAAGTCTCTCAGGTCCCTGTCGTGCTTTGGCAGTTGTTACCTCGATTCATGCATTCTTGCATCTTTCTTTCTTTTATGTTTCTTTCCTTTTTTTCTTGTCCCACCTTTGCCACTTCTCAAACACACACAAAAAATCTTCTGGAAGCTTTAATAAAAAACCCACACGTACCACAGATCATCTTATCTCCATCTGCTTTTCACGTGTTGTGTTTCTCACTGTCCTTCTACTTAGAATGCCTGTTGCCTCTTAAAAATTTTGGTCTGTGTTTTCAATATATTTTTTTTTTTTTCTGCTGAGATCGTTGGTTTGGGTTCTGTTACTGATTTCTCATAAGAAAGTAAGCTAGCAGTGTCCTGTTGGAAATGAGATCCCTCTTGGAAAATGTGTTTGTTTATTGTGGTGAGAACATATAGCAGTGGGAATAAGTTGACTATTTGCGTTCAAGGTTTTATTCTTTCAAAAAAGTGAATTTAATCAAAAGCCATCAACAGCCAGGTAACTTCGTTTGATATGCCTTTGCCAGTCTCACATGTAAAGAACCTCTAAAAGCAATAAACTAGACGTTCTTTGCTTTCAATTGAGAAATTTAATTTTTTTTAATACTTATTATTTTTTACAAATTTGGCACTTCTAGAATTAGTGGAACTATAGCTGCCAGCTACCTCTTGTCTGTATTTATATGATGTGTCATTTGTGACAGTTTGGTGGTTCGGTTGAAGTGCACTGCAATGTTTTCCTACTTGATTTTCATTTGAATGACTGTGATGCCATTAAATCCTCTTTTCTTACACTGACATTGGTATCTATAATCAGTTACAATAATGGATTCATGCAGTTCTGAGATGTGAATTTTGGGGAAAATTGCAGCATAAGCTCAAGAGAGTGAGAAATGCTCAGACTATTTATGTGATTTAAGAGACTGTCTTATTGACAGCATGAAAAATGGTCTGGTTGATCACTTGGTCATATCTGATACAAGATCATCCTGCATCATCAAGTTTTCACCCTTGTCTGTACTTGATCGGTTTGTGTCTGTACTAATCTGCATATCCAACTCTAAGCAGACACACTTTGCATAGGAAAAAACAGTGGTGGCGAGAGCTGACCTGAACTCTGACACCAGGGTGTGAGGTGACTGAAACGTACTCCTGGAGTGGTCTTATGTGTCTTGGATTTCCCTTTTGCTCACAGTGGTACAAGAGTGTATGCAACTCCTTATGGAATGTTACAGTGCTTTTTTGACTACTGCAAGAAGTTGAAAGCCTTCCCTAAGCTGTTCTATTACTTGTGGAAGATTTTAGTGCACAGCGGATTACTCTCCTCTGGAAGGGTTGCATTGTTCTGCAAATATCTCTGTCTGATCAGCATTTGCCCTGCAATTTGTTTTATCATGTTGTGTTTCTTTTTGATAACTTAATTTCCGTGCCAGCATTTCAAATTTCCTCTCCTTAATTTGTGTGATTTCGTTGGGCAGGATCTGTATGTGCTGTTGTTAGCAAATGTCTGACTTTTTTTTCCCCTCAAAACTGCATTTGCATGTCTTGCGAAGTAGAGCACCATTTTCAGCCAGTTGCGTGAGGAACAAAGCTCAGAATCTAAATACAGCAACTGTTCTTCAAAGTGCATGTGAAAATTCTTAATTTGCTAGTGGTCCTGAACTGGTGTTTAAAACACTGTGCTCTGAAACTGCTGAAGTTTTGTGTGCTGCTTTTTCAAGGGAGGGGCGAGTTCGCTGTGACATAGAGGAGTAAAAGAAAAGGTGGTTTCATGCTTTTAAACCTTAAGATATAACGAGCAATCCTATGGAAACATCCACATTAGTAATAACGTGCCTTACCCATCTGTAGTGAAGGACATGAAGGTGGCAAGGTGTGCTCCTTGATGGCACGGATCTTTCCAAAAGCATCTTGAGAATACTTGATAGCTGGCAAGGCAGAGCTACTGTGGAATAAATGCGTCATCCACGCTCCTCCAAAATGCTATTGTACAGTGGATACCTAAAGGAAAATGCCAGCATGTCTTCTGATTTTATCAACCATAATAATAAACATTTAGGCAATTGTTTGTATTACATGGTTACTTTTAAATAAATGGTGAGTTTGTGGGAATGTATTTCCTACGTAGTAGTTTTTGGGGCCATAATTCAGGGTTTAACACCTATTACAGTTCTCTTCCCCTATGTTTTGATGCAGGAGGATGGTGGAGCAGCTTGCCTGGTAGGGGTCCTGCGGCATGGGTAGAGTATCTGACTACTGCTTGCTTTTATTCTGGCCTCTGCTTTCTGGAAATGCAGCCGTTGTGCCCCTGGAGTGGTTGTTTTTGCTGGGAAAGGAGGTGTTGAGCTCATTCTGTATAGTTTCCTGTAACTTTTTTTTTTTTAGTTCAGAAGACCCGCTTTGGCACTGGAGTTATTCCCTGAAACAGTGTATTGTGTTCTTTCAGTGGCCTTAAAAATAACTTTAGAAGTACAGAAGGACAGGTTTCACTATCTGACATCAGCTTCCATAGGACTGAGTGCTCCATTCAGTGTTTAAAACAGCGGTTTTCTACGTTACCTGAGTGTTAATGCTGTCTGCAATGCTTTGTTGCTGTTGTTTTTCCACTAAATTGATCCGTACCTTCTGCTCAATTGATGAACCGTTGTAAGGATGTACAGTAAATTCCATTCCATGTGTGTTGTGTACCAGCACTCAAGTAGCATTCCTACATTCAAGTAACTTGATGTTTTTCTGTTTACCGTTTTGAAATAGTGATAAATATTAAAAGCCTTCTATTATTTAAACTAGTGCCAAATGACATGAACGGGTAACATCATGGGTGATGTTGAGATAGTGCACAATTAACCAGATGGCTCTGTTCCTTTTAGGTTTTGGTATGCAAAACTTGCCATAGTAGAGAACTGTAAACCAAGAGCGTGGAAGTTGTGATACTGAGATTCTAAGTTAATCAGAGTGATTGGTGATCAGTGGTCCTAAGGTGAAATGTATATGTGTGATTAATTCAGTCAGTACTATTAAAGAGGAAAAGTCTGTGTTAAATCCTTGTTGCATTTGCCAAAATATTGGATGAATTGCTGGTAATCCTGATTCCCACCTATTCTGGCCTACTGTCTTCATGTTTGTTGTTTGCTGGATGGAAGCTTCAAGAAAATATGTGATTCCAGATCATCTGGGTGCTGTGAGGCACTTGGAGCTATGGGACCTTCCACTGCTGATAAATCTTGAAAATAATGCCTTGCTGCAGCATTGCCATTTCAGGATTCATGGAGGGGATCACAGTCATCTCATTTTGTATCTTCTCAGACTTCTGTCTCATGCAATTTTTTTTCTGTATGAAGATTCACAAATAAAATGTATGATCTCTTATGGTAGAATTAACCTGTAACGATGGATTTGTTGCAGTCTTATCTGACAGTATTTCAAACTCTATCCTTACAACCAGCATCAAGTGTACAAGTCATTGCGTTTGGAGCAAAGTTCTACTGAGTGCGATGTTTTCGCTCCTTAAGTGCTGTAACTTGAAGTACTGAAATAATGTGAATTCAAAATATATAGTCATCATGTTTCTGGTTAGCGATGGTTTTAATATTGCCATTCAATGACTACGATAAGTGTTTGCTTCCTTGAGTTGTCATTCAAATTAAGCATTGAGTGTTTAAAGCCTTTGTCACCTTGGTTAGCAGTGTAATGGTTATGATTTTTAGAGTGGGATGCTTAAAACGCAGCACTGCTTTGGAAACTTCTCATTTCTGTTTTCAATCTGCTAAAATAACAATAATAATAAAATCGAAACTGCTTGTGTTCCTTGAAGCAGCAACTATTTCTTCCTGGCATTTCAAAAACACATTTTATCAGTTAGGAATTTTTGTGCTATTCAGCCTAACAATGTTAATTATTTATCTCTAATGTTTTACTGTATTTATGATTTGATGATTCTGTAATATTTGTGTAATAATCAGTATTAAATCAGATGCCTACAAACACATGCACCCCTTTGCTTGACAGATGCACAAATCACATCCCCTGCTCGAATAAGCCTGTAGCTGAAGACAAAGAAACAGGAGAGTGAAGGAATTCTTGTAATTGAAATATGCCATTCAGAAGTGCTTGATTCTATGCTGCAGAAAACTGAGGGCTGATGAAATGTTTGCTCAGTTTTCATACGCTTGCTTCTGCTCAGTGGAAATTACACTGTGCAGTTACCTAGATACACAGATAAGGGGTTGCTTCTTCCTAAGCCAGAATGTTTTAGTGTGGTTTTTGCTGTGAGTTGTAGTGTAGCTGCTTTTTGTGTAATAGCTGGGATTTGTTTGATGTCTGTGCTATTTAAAGACAAGTGGTAGAATTCTGGGAGGTATTAAATTCATGCTGTATTGCTAATGCTTTTTAGAGAGCAGTGGCAATGAGTGGAAAACCTGAGCACTGGGCACAGCCTGGGTTTTCTGCTCTCGTGTTTTGGAATTTTGTCTTCCAGCACTGAGAAATGTACTTCATCGTTGCCTGCGGCCAGGCTAAAATCTGAGCCATTGAAGCTCTTGGTTAAGCAGGGATATCCTTGGGTGATGTTTGGAGATGAGCGCTGGTGGTAGAAAGCAGTGCAATCTTTATGCATGCTTGACAGGGCTGATAATAAGCCCTCCAATGTACTTCGCACAGGAAAGATGAAGGTTCAGCGTTGATGTGTTAACTGTGCTCCCCTGTGCACACAGTGACAGCCGAAACACATAGGCTTGGGATCCAATTCTGATTGGGTCTTTAAGCAGTAAGTATTTCTAGTACAGGAATTTCTGGTACAGAATGCTTTTACAGCCCCACTGATAATCTATAGTTGCTGCCTTCCTCTAAGTGTTCTGAAAACAACTATTTTTCTGTATCCTGGAGGAATATGTCTTCAAGTTTCTTTGTGGAAACAATAAATGAATGTCCAATGAATGTGTGTGTGCATTTTGCAAGGCCACGGCTGTCTTCTATGGAGATGTCACTGGGACACAGACATGCTTTGCTTTCCTGCACGCTCACATCTGTGCTGGTTTTTGGACACTGTTCATTTGTGCACTGCTTCTCTGGAGTTCATGAAATGTACTTTGAAGAAGCAAGTGTACTGGTGGATTTAAGTGAACGAGAGAGCGGGGAAAAAACTCAGGGCTGATATTTGAAAACCCATTCTTAAGTCTGTTTTGTTTTTTAAAATTTGAATGCACAAGAGGATGCCTGTGAAATCTGTCAGCACAACTGAGGAACTGCTGCAGAGATCAGGATTGATCACCTGATTTGGATAACACACATATACCTGCTTGATCCAACAGAAAGTGACTAGAAAGTGAAGTCATATAAGTGCCCGTGTCTCAGAAGTAAATGGCTTGATGAAGAGCTCTCACCACTTCCTAGTCACTAGCTGACAGCCAGGAACTACTTATGTTTCATCACTACTTCAGATGAGACCTTTCCAAACTGACCCATGTGCCAGCAACTGGGGAGCAGCAGCAGCCGTCTGCTCTCCTCTACCTGTAACCAAAAACACACTGTGGAGGTGGCAAACATTGCAGCATGTAACAGGTTTCTATTTACAGTAAATATGCGACCTGCAACAAGTCTTCTGCTTTCAACTGCCAACCTGCAAACTTCCTGATGTACAAGACCCAAATTGCAGCAAGTCAGGTAAGGCAATTTTTTAATTTGTTTTCATCCTATTTTTTTAGTGTGAATGATACAGCAATATAGAACTTTTAAATTTTTTTTTATTGTGTGATTATGTATTGGGTCAAGATCTCCAGACAGCTCGAAGCACCGCATGTGATCATATCTTTAAAACAATTAAAGCCCTATCACTGTCATGTGAACATTCCATGAGGAACAGGTGCAATAGTCTTGTTACTGTGGACTGCTTTAAGGTCTCTCTGCTGTGAGTGACTCCTTCACCAGTGAGCTCCAGCTCAGACAGGTTCTTGTTGTGTTGAAGGTGCTGGGGCTGTGCATAGCCACAGCAAACCAACCCCAAACACAAACAAGTCCATCTCTGTGTCACAGCCACCCCATCCTCATGGGGTTTTTCTTTCAGTCTCAAGGTGGCTGATGGTTGGCTCACATCGTTCTCGACATCTCAAAGGTTTTGGAAGACACGTCATGTCACTTTTTTCCTATACAAGACACATGGATGATGGCGAAGAGGGAATGTTGATGGCAGAAGATCATGGCCCTGATCTGATTCATCCTCAGGATTTTAGGGGGCAATGTGGCATCAACAGAAGTAATTTAGCCTATTATGACTGTGAAGAGAGAGAACAGCCAGTGCCCCATGAAAGTTTGGATTATCTGCCTTCACACAGTGGAGTTTATAAGAAGTGGCTACAAGAGAAAACATGCGGGTAAATTTATTTTATATATATTATTTTATAGCCTCTAAACTTTAGGAAATTTGGCCAACTCAGGGAGGTGCCTCCTAGCAGAAGGAAAACATCATGTGGAAAACATTTTGATAGAAAGGAGAGGGGGAAGTGGCAAGCAACCTTTGTTTAAAATTGTTTTTTGAATGTTTATCCCTTTTCTCATGACAAATTATTGAATATAAGGAAAAGAAGTTACAACTCACTGTATACAATTTTAAGAGACTTTGCAGAGGTTTGTGGAATGTTCTCTTACTGAGACTTTTCTTGAAATTTGCTGTCTCTTAGTGTAGTATGCAAGAAATATGGCATTTGAATCTAAATTGGGTGGCTTTAGTTCCAAATGAGTAAACTAACAAAAGTTATTGTCAGTATATAATCATTATTAGAGATATATGATACAAAAGATGCAAACTAGAAATAAAAATTCATGTATATTTGCATAATAAAAGCTGCGTCATTGCATTAATTGCAGAAGAAGACAACAGTAATTTATTTTAAGCAAACTCTGACTGCACTACTGAATGCTTAATTATTGATATTCATAAAAGAGTTTTGAGATGGCATCAGACAATTGCAATGCAGATTGCATTGCAGCTTATACACAAAAGCAACCAAAGAAAAATCAATGATGCTTGTTATCCAAATGTCTTTCACCTGAACTTAGTGTACTGTGAGCATGGGCTTTTGTGATACACGGTGGGAGAAACAGCCTCTTGCTCATGCACTCATGATTAATAATCAGAAGATCCTGAAAGTGGAACTTGTGTATTTATGAGAAGTGCAGCAAATGGTCTTTTGTGGAAGGCTGAGAAATAACTGTGTTCTGCTTCTAGAAAAGAGTGGGATCGATGGCTGCTGATGGGGCTAATTGGAACAGCAGTTGGGATGCTGGGGTTTTTGACTCATCAGATAGTTGATTCTCTCTTCAAATTGAAATGGGACCTGGTGGAAAATTACCTGAAGGTAAGCAAAAGAAAGATTGATCTCCTCTGTACTCATTTGTTGGAAAAACCACATGAAGATTTAACTGACTAGAGGTTCTGCCTGTCTAGATGGGTGTAGATGTCAGGTATCCTGTGGTTCATTGTGTGGACATGTTCCTTTTCTCCAACTGACCTTCAATTGCAGTTTAATATCTGGTGGCTTTCTTAGAAGATTGATGAAGGTAGTTTTTATGGTCTTGTGGTCTTCCTTGTGACAAGGAAGGAGCATGTGCTATGTCATGTATTGTCGATGCCAAAGAGAAAGGATTAGGTTTCGCTTAAGACACTTTGTAAGTATGGCATTCAGCTATCAGCTTCCTCTGTCAGGTGCTTTAAGAATATTACCAGCGAATTGAAGGAGGAAAATGAAATACAGGGAATTTGAACATAAGCAAAAGCTTTTTTCGTTATTTTGTGATCAAGCCCTGGGAAAAGGTTGTTGAGAGAAACCGTGGATTCTCCATCCTTGGAGACTCAAAATCTGACTGCACATAGCCCTGACTAACTGCATTTAGGGCTGAACCTACTTTGAGTCTCTGTCTGGACTAGCTGATCTCCAGAGGTGCCTTCTAATCCATTCTGTGAAATTAGGATAATGGATAATCAAGATCGTGCTGCCAGTTGCTGAAAGACAAGTCTCAATTTCTTGTCAGAAATGCAAGTGAGAATGTTTCCTGTGGATGAGATGGAGGCTGAATATATCTAAGGGAATATCCAATAAATGGGCAGGTTTAAGTTTTATATGAGGAAAGCATGCAATGCTCTTGAAATCCTACTTCCCCATATATTTCATATACTAATTACATGTTTATAAAATATATTGAACAATGGATGAATACACATATATACATGCATATGAGTATGTGTACTTATATACATACTTGTGTGTGTGTATATGTGCGCTGAGGTACAACTAAATTTATAGCACAGTCTGACTCCAGGGCACAACCACAACACATAGTGCTGGCCGGTTGTATTGTAACATCTGTCGTGTTGTATTAAACTAACATAGAGGACAGCAGGTAAGTTCTCCCTGGCTTTGAAAGCAGCACAAATGTTTAACTTTCCCACTCACCTCCTTCAGCTGCAGATGAGCAAGGCTCATCGTTGTGCTTTCCTGTTTTGGCTGTGCTGCATTACAGGCTATCAAAAGCATTGGTATGAGATGTTGACAGAAAGGCTGCAGCTACCTGCTGTAATATCACAAACTCTGAAATGCAAGGTTGTGTTTCACCTGCACACACAGTGAATCTCAACCCAGTGCTGTGGAAAGAGACAAAGCATGTGGGAGCTGTGGAGCAGTGGAAACAGTATGGCTGCAGTCAGCTCAAGCACAAACAAATAAACCAAAAACCCATGGAGACTGACAGGCAATTTTAAATATGAGAAGGCATGGTATAAGAGATGTTTCTTTTGTTAAAATGGAACAAGAAGAGCTTCCTTACAAGTACTCTGTTTATTCATAAGAGCTGCAAATTCATGAAGGTAATGACCTTGGAGCCTCAATTCAAGAGCACATCTCCTGAGGGCTCCATTTAGTGATTTCTTGTGTGTATTCTTAAAGTCCCTTTCCTCTTGTTCCCAAAATGGCCTTGTGCATCCCTTATAGCGTTTGCAGAGATGGACAAAATGGCCCAGAAAAAAATCACGACTTGGCACATTGGCCTTTAGCTTACTGTTGTGTCAGTCCTTATAAAGAAACTGCACTACTTTTACTTTGTTGTTTTTTTCCCCTGCACATTCTATCTGCAGATGATTACATAACAGGGTGTATAGCAAGTACACAGGTGCTGAAGTAACCATCTCTTTGTAAACTGGGCAGGATAGCAACTTCCACCTGGTGTGGGTGTGTGTGCTGGGTCCCGGGCTGGCCATGGTCCTCGTGTCCTCAAGCTTGGTGCTGGTGAGTGCTGTCTTTTGTGCAAAGAGCCCGCAGTGCTGCAGTAACCCAAATCTCATGTTCTTCCAAATATTCTTTAATTAAGTATTTTGTATATATTTATGTAAAATCTCCCTTACAACCCAACTGGGGAGGATGTTTTTGGCCTTCAGCCTAAGGCTAAATTCTGCTGCCCGTAAGTTGTGCAGAAATGTCTGGGGTGAGATCCGTGGTGGCAGCCATGCAATTTGCACTTGGTGTGTGGTGTCTGTAAAACAAATACGAGTGGCAACTCTTGGAATATGTGAGAATCTGGTGTTTGGAAGGGGCCTGAGCCAAAGGCCATCGGGCCATATGAAAACTACTGTTGGTTTTAGTCTGATCTTTTAGCTGCGCTGTGTGGGTATCGCTTGCAGTCCAGATCAGTGCTTTTACAAGACTGTAAGGGTAGAGCATTGAGCCTTGCTGCCATTTACTGCTCTGCTGTGCTCAGTTTAATTACAGAGAAGCTATTAACAGCGCAGGTGACAGAAAAAATGAATGTTTTACCGAACTTCCCAGAAGTCTGACTGCATGAGGAAAGGGGATTTTGCTGTGGCACAGGTGGTGACCAATTTAGTTAAGTACAGCCGTGCTGACTGAGCAAACACTGCAGGCTCACAACCACCTGCCCCTGTGGTAACCCAAGGAAGGTTTCCCTCTGGTATGCCCAAGGAGGCTGCAGATGCCCCATCCCTGGGGGCATTCAAGGCCAGGCTGGATGTGGCTCTGGGCAGCATGGTCTAGTGGTTGGCAACCCTGCACGTAGTAGGGGGGTTAAAACGAGGTGATAATTGTGGACTATTTTAACCCTGGCCGTTCTATGAACCTGTGTGCCGGATACAAGGCCTTGACTGTAGGGCTCAGAGCAGAGGTGGGCCCTCTGCAGTCATCTTCTCTCCCTTCTCCACGCATGGCAACTGCTGAGAACACACATTTCTGTGTTGCCAGAGATTATATTTGCATGCACTGTTAACTCTGGCAAATCTTGTTCATGAGCAAGATGAAACCTGGACTTACAGACTGCATTCATAGATGTGTATGGAAGGATATGAGCACAAACTCTGCTAATTATTTTTTCCCTTTGCAGTTCTTTTGCCCATCTGGTTCACCATCTGGCTTGCCTGAAATCATTGGATATTTGAATGGCACTTCTATTCAACATCTATTTAACATCAAAACCTTCCTAGGGACCTTTGTCTCCTGTGTGCTGGCTGTAGCCTCTGGGCTCTTCTGTGGTCTGGAAGGTCCCATGGTCCATTTGGGGTAAGAAATGCCGAAGTTAAAGCTATCAGACTGTGAGATGGCTTTGCAATGTCTTGGTGGCAACATTGGCTTCAAAACTCCCTCACTGCATTAGTACCAGTGGTGTTGTGTTGTCCCCTCCTTTTCACTAGCACATCTGTTCAAACCATGCGGTGTGTTTTAAACATTGGCTGGATTTCTCAGTATGACTCTGAGCGGGGTTCAGTAAGTAGCTATCTGGACAACTGATGAGGTAGCTTACAATGTGCTGAGAAAGCAGGGGAGACTGAATTGGCAAAACTGCTATTGGCCTGGAGCAATGTTGGCTGCTTTGCATCTACTGTAATTGCTTTTAGCTGTGCAAGGTCAGTGCAAAAATAAAGGCAGTTCAGGTGGCTGCACGCAAAATGGGCCATGTTTTTGCATCCACTTGCACAAGAGCTGAGATTGTGCAAGGCCATCTATTTGAAGTGACTCCTGCTACACTTCATTACTATTATTAAACCATATCTTGAGTAGAGTTGGTGAAATTGGTCTCTGCTAACATGTTGTAGATCACTTGTTGGCTAGTTCACTGTTTTACTTCTGATCCTTTTTGGCTTGGAAAGCATTCATCCTCGAGGTTTGTTCTCTTTGCTGACCTGACCTGCTACTCTGTGGGCTTTTATTTATTTATTATTTATTTGAATGGAGGTGTAGCACCCTTGGGGATGACTCAGATTTTCAAAAATAGGAGAGCATGCTTGGTCAGAGGAGCCGCAAACCTTTCAGGCAGCGATTACCTTCAGATTTCTTTTGTTTTCTTTGCCTTCAGACCTCTGTCTCTGGGAGCTCAGAGACTGCAGCTGTGATGTTTTTCCTCTGTGCTAGGTTGGTAACAGTGATGCCTGAGCCAAAGAATGGAATCATATTTCCATGAAGAAATTCAGTGTGGTATTAATGTGATGCCTTTTCAAAACATAGGAACTAAGAGCTAATTTAACTTAATTTAATTGGAACCCTCTACCATTTTTATTAAACATAAACACACAAGTTGCTAAAAGCCTCTGAGAGACTCCTTAAGACCACTAGTTTAAGTCGTGTAGAGAAGTCTTCCAAGATTATACAGTGAATGGATTTTTCATTTCGCTAAGGGATTTTTGTTGGTTTTTTTTTTCCCCCCATTTAAATGCAGTTTGCCGTGCTGCCTGGGAACATATTGTAATAATTTAAATCATTACGCATCTTCTGTCAGAAGCAGAGCTGTTTTGCCTGCTGTGGTCATTAACCTGGGGGCAGATGATTGAAACAACGGGGTTATAGTCTGATGGGTCACCACACTTGGGCAGACGCTAACATGCAGTTCTTCAAAAGGCATTTCACGATCAATCATCACAATATTCCTTGCAAAAAAAGCCATTTACCTCTCTCATTTAAGAATTTGAAAACCTTTAAGTGCCTCCTGCTTTTTGTCAACAGGATTTTGCATATTTAAAAGATGTGTTCAAGTTTTTTCTTGTTTAAATCTGTTGAAGCCAATCTAGCTTTGCTGCTGTACACTGACTGAGGCTCTGTCCTCCCCTACCTTGAGCTGAAGCTGATTTATGAACAGTTTAATGAAGAGTGCTCTCAATTATACATCACTGCTTTTAGGGCTATCTTGGGTTGTGGCCTGAGCCAGCTGCAGTCGGACACACTTGGCATCCACCTTCCCTTCTTCACCAGGTTTCGGAATTCAGCTGACAAGTAAGTGATGGGCAGGGCACAGACTGGTGACTCCCCCAAACCCTAAGTGCTTCAAGGGTACCTTGCATCTCATGCAGTGGAACAGCACCTCCATTCCTGGTCTTTTGGTCTTCCTGCTGTTTGTCACTTTGTAGTGGAAAAAAACTCACCGTACTTAATACATTTAATCCTTCACAAATGGTTCTATCGTAAGCTTGTGGAAAAGAACGCATTAATACTGAAGACCTTTTTCCATTGCCCTCTTGGCTGTAAAAGGAAGAGTTTAAGAAACGTGAGATTTTCAGCTATGAGCTTTGTCCCCAAACTCAGAGTCTCAGCTCAGTGGAGAGGAAATGATGGGGATTCCACAATGTGCACAGAGGGCCCTTAGCTTCCTTTCTTCATTTAAAAAAAGTAAATGGTTGTGTCACTTGCTTTATTTTATCTGCCTCTTCTCTGCCTGTATATATCTGCAAGGTAACTCTGGTAAGCTCTCTCTTGTGAACAGCTCTACTGAAATTACTGAGATTAGTTCCCAGAAAAAGAAATTACAAACCTGCTTACGTCTTTTAGTCGGTATTTATTGTGTATTTATATAAAATACACAAGTACAAAAACTCAAGCAATGCTGACTTTTCTAGAGCAAGGGAAAAAAGAATCATGTCTTAATTTCCTGAGGGAAATGAAGTAACGATAGGAAAACAATCAAATGAATGGCAACTGTGAACTATATGTTGCTTGCAAATAAATAAAAAAATGTAGGAGGGAAGAATGGGATTCCCTTTGCCTTTATCATCTAGGAGGAAGTTTTTCACACAGAGGATGGTAATGCACTGAACAGGTTGCCCAAGAAGGATGGATGCCCCATCTCTGGAGGCATTCAAGGCCAGGCTGGATGAGGCCCTAGGCAGCCTGGTCTGGTGGCTGGCAACCCTGCACATAGCAGGGGGGTTGAAACTAGATGATCATTGTGGTCCTTTTCAACCCAAGCCATTCTTTGATCACTTAATTGGATGGGGCCCTGGGCAGCCTGGTCTAGTATTAAATGGGGAGACTGATGGTCCTGCATGTGGCACTGGGGTTGGAGATTCATGATCCTTGAGGTCCCTTCCAACCCTGGCCATTCTGTGATTCAAGGTCCATCATTTAAATAAATCAGAACAGCCTGATGTAGTTGTAGGTGCTCTTTTTCACTGCAGGGGAGTTGGGGTAGATGGCTTTTAAAGGTCCCTTCCAACTCAGTTTATATGATTCTGTAATTTTAAGTTTTAGTTCCTGCTTTAGTTCCTTGCAGACAGGAACTATCCTCAGAAAGACATGGTGTGTTGTAGTCTTCTTTACAAAATGATTATTTCTTAAAAACAGAAAGAGATTTTGGTCTGAGCAAGACCTCACTCCGTTTACAAAGATCAGGATGAGAAACTCCAGCTCCCTGTTGTCTTTTGGAGTTATTACATAGGCTTGGTGCCTCTCCCTATGCCGCCACAGGCAAAGCAGTAATTCAACCAGCAGGAGTTGTGGAAGAATCCTAAGGTTTCCATCCAGCAGGCAGCTGTAAGAGATCTGTACAAGGGGTCTGATTTCATTATTAATTGTCACTGCTGGGGTGATGCACAGCATGTGTAAATAACTGGAACAGAATGTGGGAGATGTCCAAGCAAATTTCCCCTAGCATTTACTGCAGTACATTTTGAGTTCTTCACTGCTGAAAATAATATTCCTGTGTAGATAAAACATGCAAGTGAAAAATCTGTGTACTAACGGTGTACAACCCTGTTAGTTGTACAATACCAGATGTGAAGTTGCCGATGCTGCTTTGCTGGTGGACTCCTCCTCAGTCCTTGGAGGACAGGGTCCTTATAAGGACTTCAACATGTGAACTTTCTAATCTTTTCCTTTTATTTTATTTTATTTTTTTTTTTCTCTCTTTTCTGTCCATTACCCTTATTGCCTCCCATCTTTGTGCTTACAAAATTTGTGGATACGCTGGAAAAGTCAAAAGGGCCACCTAATGTAGGGTTCATATTTTCAGAAGACCAGTTGGATATATACGTAACATACATTTATACCTGAGGAATTATGATTTTTAATACTCAAAATACTGAAGTATTTTTGTGTAATTGTTAATCCTAACTAGTACTGAGTACACGTTTCTGCAAATCATCCCTGAGAGTCTCAGGGAGCACATTCAGAAGATGCAAGTTTTATAAGCTGGTGAGCACTGTTATGTGTGTCAGTATCAGCACAGTGTCCATTACAAAGGCTGCACTTAAATACATTTTTCCAAGGTAAAATTCTTTCACGCCCTTATTTTCCTCTTTCTGTATCCTTCCCACTGTTCTGCCTGCTACTGCTGACCCCCACCTCACTACAACCTCCTTTCAGGGAGGTTGTAAAGAGCAATAACATCTCCCCTGAGCCTCCTCTTCTTCAGACTGAACAATCCCAGCTTCCTCAGCTGCTCCGCCTCAGACTTGTGCTCCAGACCCCTCACAGCATCATAGCCCTTTTCTGGACACATGCCAGGGCCTCTATGTCTTGTAGTGACGAACCCAAAACTGAACACAGTGCTTGGTATGCAGCCTCCCCAGAGCTGAGTACAGGGGAACGATCACCCCTCTGCTCCTGCTGGCTGCACTGTGTGAAATGTTGTATCTGCCTTGCATTAATTACACTGTTCAGCAACAATCCATGATGGCAAGATGCTGAAGTGCGTTTCTCATGTGATATTGTAGGATTTAGGATTTTTTCAAGGCTGAAGATCAGGAAAGAGAAAAATTGTTATGGTATGAAGGAAATCTGTGAATGAAGTGTTATTTCCCCTTTCCTGCTGACTAAAAGCCCTAAGAGTTCAGAGTATGATTATGTAATACTTTAATACAGTATGGGTCCTTTGGTCACTGTTGCTACTGGATGCTCATGTGTTCTCCAGAAGCCCCAGTATTGAAATCAATGTACTGCTAATCTGCCAAGTAGCCCCAGGAGCTTGACTCATGAGAATCAGATCTGAGACTAGATCTGAATTCAGCACCTAGTGTCATAAATAAATAAATAAATAAAGGTGTCATAATAACCCCAAAATTAACCGTCAGGTCTTTAAATTCAGTTCTATAAAACTCATATTTGAATTGAAACTGTGATTTTGGAGGGTTGTTGTTTTTTTTTCTTGTTTGTTTTGTTTGTTTGTTGTTTTTTTTCCAGTTATCCAGGTGTTGCCTCTACTACTTGTTGCAGGCGCAGCTTCATTACAGCTGGTGCGGGAGCAGGGATAGCTTCAGTATTTCGTGCCCCCATCGGCGGGCTCTTGTTCACTCTGGAGGAGGTATCTTCCTTCTGGGACATCAGGCTGGCCTGGCAAACCTTCTTTTGCTGCTTGACAGCTACCTTCACCACAGATTTGCTGTCCTCATCGCTCTATGGGTTTGTTTTCAGAGGTCACTTTGGATTTTTTGAAGCAGAAAAAAGAATTCTGTTTTGGGTACGTACTGCGTGGATGTGGAAGGAATGAGATGCTGGGTTTTAGGTTTGTTTCTCTCAACATTATTCTTGGGGGAGTAGCAGGAAATTGGGACTGAAAAGGAAGAAGAATAGTGTACGTATAATTATCAGATCAGTGGACACAGGACCCTTCGTGCTTTATGTCTGGGAATCACTTGGATACAAGACAGCTGTTTTGCAGTCCCTACTTAAATAGAAAAGTGCATTTTACGTTGTAGTACAAAGATGTTCAATGTCTTCTTCGGTGGCTGGCTTGAGCTCTCCTTTGTTGCTGCAGACATTGCCCTACTGTGGCCCTGTTCTTTTGTGCTTACAGATTAAACATTTAAAAACATAATCTCTGTTTATTCCTGTTTGCACAACAGAGGTGACCTTCAGCCTTTATTCCTTCCAGCATGACACAACCTTATGCTTTCAATTTTACCTTGTGTCCACTTAAAAACAGTTGCTTTTATTATGTCTTTCACTCACCTTCATTGCAAGTTGATTCAGTGGTGGCGTGTGAGAATCAAGATCTTCACTCCTTATCTGAATACTCTTTGTATTATGATGTGACTTGAAAGTCAATTAGAGGGATAAAAATAAAACCCTGGTCTCATGAACCCCAGTCCACTTTCTGCTACTAAGTAACTTTTCTCCTAAAGTAATTCCCTGATCATTTTAATTGGTCTCAGTATTTCTTCTGATTTGTATTTCTCAATCAATGCAAAAAAAAAAAAAAGAAAAAAAGAAAAAAGAGATTTTCCACATTGTAGGCATATCATGATTTGGAAAACAGGCAACTTTTTTTTATATGTGCATGCTATGCAAAAGTATTTGAGGTCTATTTGCTTTACCACAACTTCAGCTGGGGTAATGGGAGAAGATAGTGGTTTTCAACTCAAATCCTTTTTGTGGACCAACTCACAGTGCAGTCCCATGAACAGCTGCAGTGACACAACCAAGATGACATAAATTTGTGGCAGAAAGGTGAGACTAAATGAATAGGGAAGAGCTCAGCCCTGCTGAAGACAGTTTTATTGCTGAAGCCAAAGGATTGTGTAATGGACAGCTGCACATACAGAGGAGAGTAGATTTACTTTGGTGGCTATTTTACAATAAACATGGCTCTTTCAACACTTCTTTCAAGACATTTTCAAAAAAGTGTGCTGGATTCTGTCTCCAATCTTCTTTTAGTGTCATTAACAGGAAAAGCTAACTTACTATCAGTGTGGCTTTTGTCAGGGTTGAATAGTTTTTGGCTCTCAAGTTGGTAGAGATAACTAGAAATATTTTCATTTCACTGAACCCTGGGCTCAGGGGAAATTTTGCTTCTTTTATGTTTCGTGGCATTAACTAACAGAGTTTACAGTGGATAAACTCTAAGTTAAAAGCCTGGGGGTTTTGTTTCTCAGAAAACTGTTTGTTTTCTTTAGTTTCCTTCAACTTAAGATAAGGTTACAAGAATTTATTGTACTCCAGAGCTTGAGATTTTCAGGAAGCTTCACTTCATTTTTATGTAGGCCACTGGATGTTTTGTAAAGGTGAAGTCTGTTCTGTAGCTAACAGATTTTTCCTGATGAATGGCCAAAGCCTGTGACTGACACTATGACAAGAACATTATACCCTGCCACTACTTCCAATTGAGCTATTCCTTTCTGAATTTCAATATCTTAAACATTAGATCTCTTTAAATCCTTTGGAAAAGGATGGATTTTGATGCAGCTGATGATAAAAATAATATCACTGAAGGTTTGGTTTGTATGTACAATATGTTCATATACAATTGCTGTAGTCGGAGTGAAAAGGCAAAATAAACCTACAGCCACTCCTGACTTCCTCTGAGTGCATCTCCAGGTGTTGAGCTCCTAGCGTCTGGGAGTGAAAGCTGGGATTCTGCCTTGCTTAGACCAGACCAGGTCTCTCAATCTGCAGCACCCATAGATCAGCTCTTCAGGCCTGACTGGATTTCAACTCTGGTGCTCTTCTTCTCAGATGATACCATCAGCGCTTAGCTCAGCCTTCTGGTAGACTTGTTAAAATTTTCACTACTTCCTGGAAGAGATCTGAGAATAAGATTAAGGAAAAAGAATAAGAAGAGGAAGAAACAATAATTTGAGTAGGAAGTCCTATGGCTTCTTCAAGCAATTCAAAGAAGGATGCCAGTTTCTCTTATCAACTACGCCAAGTATTATCCTAGTCCAGTTTTGAAGCCATTCCTTCATGTGTGCCCCTATTTCACTCTGCCAGTTAGCTTCTTGAATATTTCATGATCTCTTACTCTGTCCAGATTCTAACCTTGAAAAAAAAAAAAAAATAAAAAAATCACCATGTATCTCTAAGCCTGGGCTAAGGAAATAATATCCTCACAGCTTTTAATAGATATCCATCAATCTATTGACCTCTTTTTGTTGACTGGACGATAACATTAAAGCATGATACTGCTGTAATTCTTGTTGCCTGTTGTGGAATCGAGCAGAAAATTCAATTCCTATTCCAGCTGCCAGATTATATCCTACATTTGTGATCTGTTTTTCTGTGAGTTGTTCCAGATCAGCATCAATTTTCAATTGTACTTAGCGTTTAAAAATGCACTCAATTCAGACGGTTGAATTGAGGTTGACAATGAATCATAGAATGGTTTTGGTTGGAAGGGACCTTTAAGATCATTGAATTCCAACCCTTGCTATAGGCAGGAACACCTCCCTCCAATCCATCCAGCCTGAAGTAAATAATTTCTTCCTGATATCTAGTCTAAATCTACCCTCTTCCAGTTTAAAACCATTTCCTCTCATCCTGTTGCTATGTGCCTTTATAGAAAGTCTCTCCACAGCTTTCCTGTAGGCCCCTTCCAGGCACTGGAAGGCTGCTATAAGATCTCCTTGGAGTCTTCTCTTCTACAAGCAGAAGAGCCTCTTGCAACCTGCCCTCAAAGGGGAGGTGCTCCAGCCCTCTTATCATCTTTGTGGCCCTCCTCTGGACCTGCACCAACAGCTCCATGTCCTTCTGGTTTGGGGGACTTCAGAACTGGATGCAGTATTCCAAGTGTGGTCTCATGAGAGCAGAGTAGAGAGGCAGAATCACCTCCCTCCATATGCTGGTCATGCTTCTCTTGATCCAACACAGAATACAGTTGGCTTTCTGGGCTGTAAATGCACATTGCCAGCTCATGTTGAATCTTTCATCAACTGACACTCTGAAATCCTTCTCCTCGGGGCTGCTCTAGCTTGGGATTGCCCTGACCCAGGTCATCTTTTCAAAATTCTGAGGTAGATATAGATACTGTGAACAGAGCTCTGGTCCAGCAAAATTTTTCAAACTGCACCACTCAGACCAGGGCATCATTATTTGGAGCAACCTGAGGTGCTGAGTGTTTCTGGTAACTGCAGCACATCGCAGAATTTTCTGCTAGATTCATTACTATTCCCCAGGGAAAGATGGGCCCAAGAGGATACTTCTTTCCTTAACTTACTGCATTACATGCTCAACTCCTTTACAGTCCTTCAGGAATAAAAATAACTGGCTAATGGATCTGTCTGTGACAATGATAGTGTCTACTTGCTGCCTCCACTGCTGTGAGGTGTGTAAGAGCAGTACACTGCCTCATGTGAGACTGGCCTTAAATTAACTAGCTGCATCCGTAAAACATAAGGAAAGATTTATTTTTTTTGTGTAGAAATTATTTTGTGGTGTCAAGTTTTGTGGGAGAGGGTGCAGTATTTCATGTCACTGGCAGGATGCTCAGAACACGTTTTCTCTTTCCTTCAACTCAGGTTAAAAATTTGCTGGACGTGCATGTCTTGGCCTTCATTCCAGCCATCCTACTTGGAATGCTTGGAGGTCTTCTGGGAGCTCTCTTTGTTTCCCTTAATATAAAAATTAATAAGTTACGTATGCAGTTCTTTAATTCAATTCCAAAATCATCCCTTAGCAAAACAAGCAAGCTGCTGGAAACTCTGCTTATTCTGGTAAGTAAATAATATGTTTCTCTTGATCATATAATGTTTACAGTGGCTAATTAGGGCAGGTCATAAGTTGACTGAATGGAAAAGTGAATCTGACCTGCTGGTGCTTGAACTAATGTACAATGGTGTTGAGGAAAGAGATGAGTTTCCAGAGGATGTATAAGTAGTGAAGAAAGAAGTAACATTTTCTTCCCCCCTTAATATTTGAAGTATGTTGCCCTCATGCTCTTCTGCTGGGTTTGAAAGTTGTGGATAGATAGAGACAGCTTTCTGGACCTAGTTGTGTATCTGGGTTCAGTTATCCCTAGATGTTACTGATGGAGGTTGGCTTGGAGTCTCAGATACTGCGATAAGACATGATGGTGTCATTTTACCTATAGACTTTGTTTGACTTTATCCTGTGGGGTGTCATTAGAACAAAAAGCGTACAGATAAAAGGTTTCCGTATTTTGGATATTTTCATCATTTTCAACTTTATGGTTTGATTACAAGGTAAGTAAATTATTAAACATGAAGAATCCTTCAGAGCTTTTCTACTACACATCCAGTGAATTACTCAGTTGGGTCACTGTGTAAGTTTCTCTAGTGAATACCTCTTTGTCATAATTTTCCCTTCTTCATTTTTAAGTAAGTTTTTTGAAGAGTTTCCAACCTTTTAAAGTGTTGAGATGGCCTTTCTTTGGGAATATTGGTGCACACTGAATATCCTTTCTTCTACCCTCTCTTAGGAAATGTACCAATAAGTTTTATGTGCACTTGTTTTTTTTTATAAGCAGACCAGTATTTCCCACTCCCTGGTGAGATGGGTATTCAGCTGTAGATCAGTGGGAGGGCCGTATTGATGCTCTCTCCCATCAGCCCAGACATGACTTAAACAGTCTCTACTCTGAGTCTGTGGTAAGACATAATCTTCAGGCAATGCAGTCAGCTTGTATTAGCCACCTGAATGACACTGGTAGAAAACAGTATTTTAAATACTAGGAGGGAAGCTTTTAGAGCTTGAAGTGAGAATAACCAAAGGTTGAGGCATGTGGTCAAGTCTCTCTCTGCAAGTTACAGCAATTCATTTTCTCCACAGATTGGTACACAGGTGTGTAAAATTCCCACAGGTTGCGTTATTTTTTCCTCTCTGTCAGATCAAAAAGTGTGCATTTCATTTAGTCCTTGAAAACTTTGTGTGCTGTGCAGTCTGATTCCTTCTTTTCTGCTGGCACAAGAGAGAGGAAACCTGGACTTCTTTAGGAGGAAGAACAGAGAAGGAGGGATCTGCTGTCAGTTCCCAGCACTGGAGCATGGCCATATCATCGATGATAACTGCATTTTAGCTCCTCTTAGTGGCAGGATGCAGCTTTTCAGCTTGGAGCTGTGTTTGTACAGTATGTTGCCGAGGTGAAGAAGATCAGGTGAAGTTTTTTGCTACCATGTTTGAAGGAATGGATAAAGTGGGTAGGGAAAATGACTTTTATTGCTTCAGTGAGCACCCTTCCTCTGCCCAGCCTCCATCTGTTCTAATTTGCTTCCATGTCTTTTAGTGGAGTCAGGACTTTCTGCTGTTGAGCACTGCAGTGATAAACACTGATAAAAATCCCTGAGCAGTGAGATTTCAGTCAGCAGAATGAGGAGTAGAGTCCCTTGTGAGAATCCTGTTAGTCCTGTGTAAATGAAGCTGTGAAAGGTGAGATTTACAGTAATTAATATTTTAATAATTTGGAGATAGAACTCTGTTGGACAGCCACTTTCCCTACTATTGGGAAAGGTTTGGCTTTCTCATAACACATTACAAAAGCCTTGCATAAGCTACTTACATGCAAAAAATCATACAGTTCCTTATTACTTGTTGGAACAAGGATGAAAAACAAGACAAGAAAAAAAAACCAACTAAGAAACTTGCAACAATGGAAGCCAGCAAGATTCTGTTTGTTAGAAGATACTACAGGATTAAACTTAACATCAGTTAGCAAAGGTTTAGTGCCAGACAGAAAAAATTGCCTATTTCACACTGCTTAGGAGTGGCTCCTCACTGACTCCAAAAGCTAATGGAGTGGTGAGTGATCACCTTGACAGATCACAGCTGAAACTGCGAGAACAGTATTTGTTTTGTTGGCTACCTTGCTTACAAAAGCTTTGCCATTTATATATTTTGTCTTTCTTTTCATTAACAAACAAAAACAAAACACAGACATGCTGCTTTTCTTGCACTGATTTTATGACATGAACTCTTATTCACTCTGTTTTCCTTCTTACTGGCTCTAGGAGATCCCGCTCAGATCACAGTCCTTATTTTGTTATAACTTGGCAAAATAATCAGCAAGAAAGAAATTGTTTGATCTGAGAAAGAACAGTACAGTTCCTATTTTTATTTTTTTAATTTAATTTTTATTTTTCTTTTCATAAACTCACATAGCTGGGCAACTGAAAGAAACTGTGTCACAGTGACTTTAACCAAAAATAATCTTGTATAAACCAGTCTGCATTTAAACTTGGCGAGGACCCACCATGGTATCTTCCACACCCACAACATAACCCGGAGTACCATTCCTTTGACTGGAATTGAATATCTAATCTTCAGCCCATAGATTAGGCAGAGCTGTCTTCCTAAGTGCCCTTCTGTGCCTTGGCCTGCGTTTTCTTCTCTTCAATTCATCACCTTACTCTCTGTGAGGAAATTGCAGTATAGATAAAGCTTTGCCAAGAATCTGGCAGAGTTATCTTTCTTTTTCCTTTTTTTTTTTCTTTTTTTTTTTTTAAATATCTCATTGACTAATGCTTCTCTTCCAAAAAGCTTAGTGCTTCCATGGGCAAGGTGAACAATTTTGGGATATATACATATGTATTAAGCTGTAAAAACTTTTAAAGATTATTTCAGAGGATACTTTTTTTTCTGTTTAGCTGTGAAGATAGGCTACTGCTTTAAATCTCCAGCCTCCGGCTCTGCTCTAGCTGTCCTACCTGCTGTTTGAGTTTGGGGCTTGGGCAAAAATTTGAGCTGGGTTTAAACTGTCCCAGTGTTACATTCTCGGATATAAAGCCTGGCCTAAGCTTCTTGAAGACTGAACTGCTTCCAGTTTCACTTATCTGCCCACCAACTCTGCCCAAAAGTTGATAATCTTGGAGATATAATTCTCTGACTAATGGTCGCAATTGCATGTGGTTGAATCTCAGTTTAAGGCCTTCTCTAAACATGTTACATGAGCTGTTTTATAGCAGTCCAGAGAGTGTGTGAAACCTTGTGCTTGGAAAAGTTATTCGTATGACCATGCATTCCAGTAATTTCTCTCTACACGCCTACTTAATTTTTCTCAGTCTTGGTGGGGAGTATCTTCATCTGCTTCGAAAAGTAAATTAATCTAACCTAAGAACCTAACATTATTTTTGAATTGGAAATTAAAAATAAATATAACCAAAACAGAGTCCTGTCATGTACACTCTTTATTCATACTTACCAAGGACTATAATTTTGCAAAAATCAGGAAGTAATTTAAATGGAGGCGATGGATTGTTTTAAACACTCGGCATAATTTTAAGTACCAACCCAAATATGAGGCCCTTAATGAGAGGCACTTAGATCCCAACACCTTGCATGGACACATCTCCATCAGCAGTTGTGGTGTGTGGCAGGGAGGCTGGGCACAGGCCTAACATCCAGCTCTGGAGTTGGCTGTGGCTTTTGGATGGTTACAGAGGTGGAAACTAATTCACAGTTTGCAATGGAACAGGCTGCCCAGGTGCAGTCACCGTCCTTGGAGGTGTTCACAAACCATGTAGATGTAGCACTGAGGGATGTGGTTAGTGGGCACAGTGGGGATGGGCTGATGGTTGGACAAGATGATCTTAGAGGTCTTTTCAAGTCTTAATGATTCTGTGCTTTAATGGAGTTTGTGTCTGAAGCTAGATGGGTGAACCTGGGCCTTGCTAGTTGTTTATGGGTAAATGCTGATATTCTGGGTTATGTGGGTAAGATCTAAAGGATAACTTTGGTAACTGTGGGCATTAGTGATTTTTAGACAATTTTCTTTCTGTTTTTCTCTGTTCCTACACCTCATGATAATTTGTTTACTTTCTGTAATACCTGCAGGTATGTACTACGACTGTAACAGTATATTTGCCGTATTTCTTTCCCTGCACTCCTGTCATGAATGCTGGAAACTATCAGCTGAGAAACAGCTCAGAAATGTAAGTGGAGAGAGTCACCAGGAACTCTTACAACAAATTGCAATTAATATATAAATGAATATGCAATTGAATTTTCAATTAATGTGTAAATAGTCACAATTTCTCTCGGTTTTTACAAAGATTTGGGATGGAGAAACTCAGAGGTGCATCAAAACTGATTGTTTATAAGGAATTCATCCAGAGATAAGAATCATGCTTAATCTATTAATCACTGAAATTTAATCACACAGACTTTTCTAGCAAGAAACGTTTTCTGTCATGTCAAATTAAAGAAATAAGAGAAATTTAAAACCAATAAAAAGATAAAACACGGAAAAGGCCTGAAATGTGACTATATGCATCACCCGAGCAAATTTCCAATTTAGAATATGACTTTTGCTTTAAAAGATGTGTGAGTCTTACCTCAAAGTACACACGCCTATAGTGTGCTTTGACTGGAAAGCTGGAACTGAGAAAAACAGTGATTATTCTCATCTTCAGCCATCTGCTGATGCCTGTGGGACATGATTTGATCCTTGATCAGTCATCTGTATAAGAGCATGGAAGGTGACAAATGCATCAGAGATGCATGCCAGTACAGCACAAACTATAAGAAGGGTATTTAAAATTACAAACTCCATTTTAATAAATGGAGAATAAGTGAATAGTTGAAGAGATCCTTAAGCTTGATAAAGGATTTGCAGGGTAGGTATCTTTCTTAAGAAATACGTATCAAATGAAGTTGGATTTCACAGTTATTGCAAATGGTCACTGGCAGCACAGAGCTTTACATGTCCTCCTTGCAAGCAGGCAGTATGCTACATATTGCATAATATGAATGGTGAGTGTTAAATAACTCACCACTGGTGACTGGTCTCTGAACAGCTTATTTAAGTACACAAAAAGCAGCCATACCTCTCCATCTCTGCTACAATTCTTGATTATCTCTTGACTTGCAATACCTTGTTTAGCGTTGTCAGCTGTAGTATATATTTACAAGTTATTTATAAAGAAATCTTTGTCACCTACTTGTACGTAACTTAGTGACTATGGTTTTTTTTGGATTGCTGCAGGAAAAGACTTTTCCTCACCCTGACATCCTTTTTTATTTTAAGAACTAAATACTTCCAAAATGTTATTTTTAAAAACAAAACTATTTTTGCTCTAACAGAAAAGCTTTTGAAACCACAAACATTTCATGGCTTTTTTTTTTTTTTTTTTGTTTGTGTGTGTGTGTGTGTCTGCCTCTGAATCAAAAATAGTCAGATTAATCCAACCTAGAGGCTAAACTGTCTCAGTGTCAATTTTTCATTTGGTGTGGCTGTGAGTTTTGAAGAGTAGAAAATGAATAGATCTGAAGGGTACAAAGCACCAAATTGTAGTCGACTTTGCAAAGTCATGCATATGCTGAAGGTAGTGGTAACACTTGCAGTGAGTCTGTAATAAGGTACAAGACCAAGCATGGAAAAGAATCCTGTTTGTTTCCTCCAAGTCTTAGAAATTTAAAATGAGAATTATCATTGCAATCCTGAGATTTTAGTCAGGATCAATTAGATTTGTCTTAAATTAAAATGGGATATTTAATCATTTACCTTTGAATATCCAACAGGTAAGTAATAGGCACGCCGGCCATCTTAAAAGATCCAATAAGAACCATGTAGCAGTAATTTAAAAAAAAGTAAGAGGCTTGTTTTCGTCTTTTGTGCTGATCTGTCTCTTCAAGTGAAGTACATGATAGTTTGGTTTTTTTTGATTGCTTGTTGGTTTTAAACCATAACAGTGCAACAGCTGAAAGTCCAGATGGGACTGAAGTGTCTGTGCCAGTATTGACCGTGTTTCCTTCTATCATAGCTTATCCTCATGAATTTGTGTTGGAACTGTGCTTTCAAAAGAGTTTCATAGCACTTCCTGCAGCCCTTGATATTGCTAGGTGAAAACAGCGGGAACAGGAGGTGGTAAGGAGGCAGGAGGAGGTAAAGGAGCAATGGGCTTCTTCCAGTAGCAAGTCTTGGCAGAGCCCACACAGTGTGCCAACGCTGTCTTCCCATCTGCACCAGGGATAAACCTGTCTCTGCTAAATATACTGATTTCAAACAGAGTCAGTGGGACAGAAGAATGTGCATAAACAAGTTCTGCATCTCTGTTCTCTGTGCCTTATTCTTCCTGCTCAGCCATGTGCTTTAATTGTAAAAAGCATTCTTCTGTCATTTCTCTCTCTGCCATTTTGGCATTGCTGCAAGCATCGAATTAGCTCTGAGATTGCTTGTTTTCATTTGCACTCTTTTACCGGTAGAAAAGGCATAATTTGCATAGAACTTGAGGTTTGCTATAAGTGGGTTACACAATCATCTGATTTCTCAAGCAGGATGGAGTAAATAAGTTTTTTGTTTTTGTTTTTGTTTTATTGACCATCACAAATTTGGAATGTATTCTTTGAAGGTTGGATTAACGTAAAAAGCAAACACAGGACTGGAGAAGTATCTTGTGTTGCTTTGGTTGCCAATCCAGGGTCTGGAAAAAATTTCCTTTTGCTAGATGTTGGCTACATTTTCAGTTTGCCTTCTAGTTCTGAGCAGGGATCAGGTGGGTTAAATACCATGCTTCTCCGGCTCTTTGTTCCAGGAACAGAGTTCATGTTGTTACTGTTTGGGTTGTGGTGATGTCTAAAACATGCTGGATACTTCCCAGACTAGGAGAAGGAAGTCTGTATCTGTTTGGGAGGGGACAATTGCTCAAGATGACAGAGATTGAGAAAGTGTCGAGGAACAGCAGGGCTCTATGAAAGGCTGGTCACGGGCATGTGATAACCAGTGATCCGAGCTGCAAGTTTTCCAGTGTTGAAATAAGTAGTGCCAGGACTTGGAAAGGAAAGGATTGAGAATGTGCTGGGCAAATATCTTGTAAGTTGTGGGAACCTTGTATTCCTCCTGATCTCTCTGTCTCTGTTGTCCAACTGTAGATGTGATTGTGAGCTTGGGGTGCTGTGCTTGCCTGTGGAAATAACTGTTCATCAGGAGTGCCAGATTTCTGATCTACCAATCCAGTTTGGCAGAGTCACAATGGCATGAGGAGATGAAGGCCAGGGTGGGCATTTTAATCAGTCTTTTTTTGTTTGTTTGTTTTCCCAATTTTACTCAGTGCAATGTAATTCCTGGTTTTGTAATTTTATTTTATTTTTACAACACAAGGTTTGTGCAGAGGAATATGATCAAAAATTAACCAAGTTATTTAGTTCAATGCAATGAATCATGAACAGATCCAGTAAACAAGATTTATTATTTAATAAATTTAATTGGGGACATTGCCATTCTAATATTTGAATGGGGCATAAAAACAAGAAGGGGAACAGCTGTTTACAAGAATGGATAGTGATAGGACAAAGGGGAATGGTTTTAAACTCAGACAGTTTAAACTGAGACAGGTTTAGGTTAGATATTAGGAGGAAGTTTATCACTCAGAAGATGGTACCATACCATACTGCAACAGGTTGCCCAAGGAGGCTGTGGATGCCCCATCCCTGGAGGCATTCAAGGCCAGGCTGGAAGTGGCTCTGGGCAGCCTGGTCTGGTGGCTGGCAACCCTGTATATAGCAGAGGGGTTGAAACTAGATGATCATTGTGGTCCTTTTCAACCCAGGCCATTCTAGGATTCTATGCTATGATTCTATGATATAGGGTAAAGTAGGCTGTCTGTGTAGAATTTATACCTAAAAGATGCATTCTATGCAGGTACTGAGATAATTTATATTTACTCACTTAGTAATTTTTGTTTGTTTTTAACATTTAAGCATATACCAATTCAAGAGGGAGATTTCAGAATACGGATGTTCACTGAACACATCATGGATTGGTCCAGATGGAGTCAGATATTCTAATCAAACCTTCAATCAAGGTAAGGAGACAAGTGAGTGACACTGAGGAACAAAAAAATTATGTAACCAGAAGTAACATCCAAATATATTTACTCATAATATAGGATATTTTTTATTTATTTTTTGGTTTTGTTTTTTCAAAATGCAGTGCTCTCATTTAATGTACTGGAACTTAAAACCATATTTGAGCTAAATGTCCTGGTAAGTTTCTGAATTATTACCTCTGAAAGGGATGAGGAAAGAGTGCTACTGAAGTAGTATATCTCCCTTTCTTTGGCTTCACTGGCTGCTGTTTCTCCTCATTTAAATCAAGATTAACATCACATGGAGCAGACTGGAAAGAACAAATAACGTTCCTTGTTTTCCTGCAAGTGCTTTATATGCTGAACTTCTCATTTGATCACAAATTAGTTGATCCTATGTATTTTGCTGAGTTGTTATCGGGTTTAGGCAAAAGAGAACTGATACAAATGCAGTTTTGTAAAGAATCCTTTTATTGTATTGTATCTCTCGACATCTCTTCCTCTGTGTTGCAGCTGCTGCTCTTCTGGTTGAGAATGGTAAGCGAGGGATCACATATCTTTTTAAACGTGGGACTCATGAGGAATTTGGATACACATCTCTCTGCACTGCTTTGGCATTTTATTTCATCCTCAGCTGCTGGACTGCAGGTTCTGCTGTTGCCAGTGGCGTGGTTATCCCGATGCTGTAAGCTTCATTCATCTTGGTTTGCGCTGTCTATGCAGAAGGCCTGTGTTGAGTAGCAATAACCTGAATTGTAAGCTGAAATCTTGGCAGTGGCAAAGCTATAAATGCTTGGAGGAGGTTGTATAGGTGGAACAGGATGGTTTGCTTGGAAAGAGAGACTAAAATTGTGGAAAAGAATGAAAAAAAGTCATCCGAGAATAGCTGTAGAAGGATGATAGCCAAAACTGTATACTTTCCAAGTACAGATCACTTGAATCCTTTAGGGCCCCAGGGAGAGTCTAGGCTGCTGGCTTCATCTCTGTAACTGTAGAAATATGGGTTCAGATCCAGACTTTTCATCTGTTTCCTATGCACATAATAGCATGAATCTTAATCTTGGATATCAACACCCTAGACTTTGGAGAAAACTGCATATAGGCCTTTTGTTGTTGTTTTTAGAAAGCTATGATAGACTAGAGCATAGTTCTCACAGTCATGCTGAGAGGTTTGATGTACACACCGAACTGTTCAGAAAGTAAGCAGCCACGTGTGGAGAGTGGATATCAGGCATAATGCAATTCTAATACTGAAAAAATTCTAAAATGAAATTTGTGTGTGCAACTGCCTGCCTTTTCCATATCCCTCTCTTTTTCTCCTACACTTCACAGGCTGTTGACTAATTATTTTTATTACATAATAATAACTGAAACAAGGCATATTTTGTTTGATATATACTGACGGTCAAGTCTTTCATCCAGCAACCTAATTTTTTACTCACTTTTTATTTACTGTAGCTGCATCCATCAATAAAATCAATCAATTGTATGAATAAATGGGAAAAAATTAGTAATGGCGTACGATGATGTTCTTCAAGTCACATAATATATAACATATATGTGATATGATATATATATATGTAATAGTTCGCAACTTTGGAAGGTGAATGTCTGTACAAATCCAGTTCACAGGCTGATACTAGGATGTGTATATTAAATTGCAAATGGAATAAAATGCTGTGTCTCACCCCAGCAATTACATGTTCAGCTGTGCTAAGTTTTGTTTTTGTTCTTTAGCGTAGCACATGGTTAGTTTGAGGAGTTCTGCATTCTCTTCACAGCTTCATTCCTGGTTAGCTTCACAGAGGTCTACCTATGACTTCATTTTGCTCATTCAGTATGTGGCTGTAGAATTTTACTTGCCAGGTTTATGGAGCACAGGTAGATTTAGTTGTAAGAAATCGTATAAGGCTGGACCTCTAAAAGTGTGGTCTTTGACAGAAATAGCTGAGTGTGTTCATCTGTAGCCTGTACTTTTGACTGTATTCCTGTAAAGTCCATTCTCGTTTGTCTTTGAGCAATATTAAGCAAGGCATGCTGATAGTTCTTTATCTACAAAATACAGCAGATTTAGCAATTTTGTGCTAGTGATTAGGACTAAGTAATCATTCATAGTAACTAAGGATGACAGAGCTATTTTGGGGAGAGGAGTTATTACAGAACTCATCAATTAAATCTGGGACAAACAGATCTCTAGAAGCACTTCTGGGAGTCAGGATCACTGGCAAAAGATGTGCTTTGTTTTTTTTTTTAATTCTTGCATGCAGGTACACAGGAGCTTTGTATGGCAGGATAATCGGTTTGATCCTTGTTTCCATTTTTGGTGTTCAAAATAATAAATATGGAGCATGGATTGATCCAGGTCTCTTCGCTGCCATTGGAGCTGCCTCCTTTTTCAGTGGTGTGTCAAGACTAACCATTTCCCTCACTGTTATCATGGTGAGTATGTTAAATTTTCAGGTATTTGTGTGGCTATGGTTGAGTTGAGCTCTTGCTGCTGCAGCTAAATGAACCACAGATGGTGTCCCACACACATTGGACCACAGTGAAATACATATTCTTGGCCTACTTATTTCTAGCTTGTCTGAAGAGCTTTTTTTTTTTTCTATTTCTTTTTTACTTTTCCTTTTTTCTTTTATTTTCTTGGGACATTGTATTTGTGAAAGCGTAGATTTGGAATTAACACTTAGAGAAGTCTCAGTATCTGATCCTATTTTTTAAACATTTCTTGGTCACATAAATGATATTGGCTTCAGTGGTTTACAAAGAAGGAGAATATGCTATCTCTGTTCCTTGTGGATTACAAAAAAACGGCAGCTCAGTTGCAACACCTGGGGACAGTCTGTTGTAAGGTGCAGACAAAATTCAGCTCAGTCAACACAGGAATGATTTTGAGGTCACAAGGGGGAAGTCTTCATAGTGTGGAAATTTGATCTATGACTTAAGCAAGTCTTGGATGCTATTGCCCAAACAAATCTCATTAAAATCTTTGAAGATGTCAGAATTCACCTGAAGTGACCAAGTGGGGATTTTTCTCTCCTAGAACACTGCCGTGCAGCATTTGATAAAGGGTCTGTTTATTGGCATGCACTCAGAACTAGGTTCTTTTCAGTGATAAGCTGTGGAAATTGTGTAAGAAGCATTTTTTGATGTTTTCGTTTGAAAGGCGATACATGTGCATAGCAACTTATCTGTTATGAAGGAATAATTTGATTATGAAAACACTCCTACTTCAGTGTCCTTGTGATGTTTTAGCACTCATTTTCCCATTAAGCACAAATGCATTCTGTTATTTTTACTTATATCATTGCTACTGGACATCTGCTGGAAGATCTGTATGTTTTGTTGGCCAGCTATGGTGTTTGAGCAAGGAAAACTGGTGCCTGAACGATAAGTTTTCTGAGAGCTCCTGTTGCTACTGACTGTAATGGCTCTTCCAAAGCAGAGAATTTTTAGCCTGAATTTTCTTGCAGTGGCTCAATAACTTCTAATTGAAGTTGGAGATGCAAATCATGAGGGGCAAACACAGTTGATTGACATCTTCCTTCGTTTTGTGCCCATGAGGCTGGGCTTCATTGTAGGGAACTGAGAAGTGAAGGTGTGTCAGAACACTTGCTAGTCTTGGATGACAGAACTGCATTTCATTCAGCAATAACAGGGAAAAAAAAAACCAACTGTATTTTATTTGCTGCAATTTCTCCCTGCCTTCCCAATTACCTGCACTTGTTTTTTTGTCCAAAAGCCTCCCAGAGCATGTATGTACAGCACGTGCAGAAGAATAGCTGGGAACTGCTTAGAGAGCTATACAAAAATCAGTTGAAAAGGCACTAGAAGAATGATTAGGATCTCATTGCAATGTATTCTGAATTCCCCTAGGTGTCATGTTATAACTCTTCTGTGCCTCTTTCTGCACAGGGAGATTGCGTTTCAATTCATGTTCATCCAAGATAAATAGCTGCACTGCTTGAGGAAATATTAATTTTTGAGGAGAAAAAAGGTCTTGGACATGACAATGCAAAAACATAATTAAAAGGTTGTGCCCTCAAACCATAAAATGCACATATTTTTCCTATATTGTCTGATGGGTTCAAAAAGAATTGAGTGTGTTTGCTTTGGCTTTTCACATAGCCTCCCATTTGGAAACAGTTATGAATGTGGGACTTGCAGTGAACAGGTTTGTAAAATGCTTTCCTTTTTTTTCTCACGGCAGACCCCACAGGCTTCTACCCACCTCTTCTTTTTGGGCTGCTTCCTTTTATCCCCCATGCTGACACTTTGCCCTTATCCTCCTCAGCTATTTGTGGCAAATGGTAGACATGGTGACGTTTTCCTTGGCAGGCAGAGGGACCAGCCTTGTGTTGTGTCTTCCCACAGCTTTCTGTCTCTTACGTCTTTGTGCTGAGTGTCCTGAGCTTGCTGGTCCCAGTGGGCTTTAGGTGTAGGAAGAGGAATAGCATCTTCCTACACAGTGTGGTTTGTCCCCAGGACTTTCTGTATTTTTATCATTCCTTTTGTATTTTGTATCTCAATTACACTGCCTTGCAAAGGTTGAAGAAATAGGATGGTACTAGGCTAGCCTAGGATTAGTGTTCTTGTCCAGTACTGGTGATGCTCCCATGGGCAAGCTAAGCTGTTCAGAAGCCAGCTGCAGAGAAGGGCTTTTTTCTACACTGACTCGAATCCTTCATTCTCTGAATTGTCCTCCTTTCTGTTCACACATAATGCAAAATACCCCTAACTCTCTCCACTTTCCTGTCTGTTCTGTTCAAACACAATTAAAGCAATATATCACTTTATTGGCCTAATTTACTTCTCAAAGAGATCTTTACTGGTGGATATGGGGAATGTGATTAATTGTGAAAAGGTTAAGACTCAAAAGCCTCCTCTGAGTGTGAAACACTGAAATATCAAGCTTTTGACAGATGTAGAATAGAGGAGAAAATAGAATGTTCCTTAAGATATGGATGGGGAAATGCAATGTCATTGTAGAAACCAGAAGAAATTCTCCATGGGGGGATTAAATCGCCTTGGGTCTTTCATTCTCTAGCTGATGGAGGGTGTGGCTGCTGTGAGTGAGCGGCTTGTGCTAATGAGCAGTCTCTTGCTTCTGAAATAAAATGACCATCTGGTGGTTGGTTGGAGCATTATGAGAAGTTACTTATTGATATCTGCCTGTTTTTGTGTTTTGTTTTTTTAATATGGCAGAAAGAACAAACTGGTTTTAAAGTCAGCTGGTTCATAAAAGACAGTACTGAAGGCTCAGAGATGAGAGTTTGTGCTTTCTGCTCTCTGGTATTTGTATCAGGACAGGTATTCTGGCAGAGCATGTTTTATAGTTAACTATTTTGCTGTAAGTGACTGCTGTTCTACAGAATCATTAAGGTTGGAAAAGACCTCTAAGATCCCCCAGTCCAACCATCAGCCACCCACCCCCACCATGCCCACTAACCACGTTCCTCAGTGCCACATCCACACGGTTCATGAACACCTCCAGGGACGGTGACTGCACCACCTCCCCGGGCAGCCTGTGCCACTGCCTCACTGCTCTTTTGGAGAAAAAAATTTTCTTAATATCCAACTGAAATGTAGTAAGGAAATTTCATACTTCTTATACATTTTTAAGAAATTAAAACAAACATTTGTTTTATGATATTCTTATATCCTTCACAACATTATTACAGATCTTCTTGGATAAACACAATAAAATAACTGTATCAGCAGGTAGTAGTGATTAAATTCTAACCTCATCCTTTTCTCTGCATTTCATCAGTATTTCAAAATCAGACAGAATGTGCTTACCTCAAATTATAGACAGGATGTATTACTGCAAATTCTGTTGCTACCCTTCTCACTTCCTCTGAGCTACTCCTTAAAGCTTAAATCCTTTCACAAGGAACTGAAGCAGAGCATCAGCTGTAGGCATTATGGTAGTAGATATTAAAGGCATGTCTTATTTTACATCGAAGATGCGAGCATATAGCACAGACAGTCATGTGATTTAACTAATTAGTGTGAAGTTATAGGATGAGTAAGATGCTAGAGAAGAAAGCACAAGACTTAAAACACATGGAAAATCTGCCTGGTATCCCATGTTGCCCAGTGGTTAGAAGATGCTGCATTTTGAACCGTTTGCAGTAGGAATGATGCAAGAATGTAGGATGGCTTTGAAAACACTAAAATGAGTATAAATTATGGATCTGTTCTTGCTGAGTGGGGTTGTCAAGCTGTATCTCACAACTGGTGCCTAACAGGTAGTGCCAGTGAAAACAATCCTGACTGCCCATGGCATTGCTTGTTAGTACTGTTTCTAAAAAGACCATTGGGGGCCGGGAAAATTAAAAAAAAAATTCTCTTAAGTGAGACCTGGGCTAACTGGTGAGATGAATAACGTCTACCTTAGGCAGGCACAAAAGTTGTGATGTGTACTACATGCGGATTAATGTAAGTGCTTATACGAGAAAAAAATCCATTTAATACGCTGTGAACAGCTGCATTGTAGTATTTTCCACCTCTGTGGTGTTGAAGAGTCATGGCTTGGATTGTGAGCTGCTGTATTTGAGTCTGGGTTGGTACCTGGTTATACCTTGTAGCATGCTGGTGAACTCCCCCTGCTCACTTTTGCACGTCATTAATACTGTGCTCTTTGGAGTGTTCTTTTGTGGCTATGTAATCAGCTTACATCCGTTAACACACCACTTCTTTCTTGCAACTTCTTTTGAAGAGAAGGCTCCAAGGAGATCTGATAGGTGCCTTGCATTATAAGGGGAACTATAAGAAAGAAGGGGAGGTTCTTTAGCAAGGTCTGTTGTCATAGGTCAAGGGGAAATGGTTACAAACTAAAGGAGGGGGAGGTTTGGATTGAATGTAAGAAAAAGGTGTTTTTTTTTTTTAATGATGAATGCAGTGAGGCACTGGAGCAGGTTGCCCAGAGAGGTGGTGTAATAACCCACCTCTGGAGGTGTTCAAGCTCAGACTGGACAAGGCTTTGAGTTGTAGGTGTCCCTGTTCATTTCAGGGAAGTTAGACCCTTCCAACTCAAATGATTCTATTCTATAAGAGGGAGCATTTTAATAGAAATTTTGTGTTGACTGGTATATTTTGTGATGTTTTTGTTCTGTCAGAACATGAGTGACTTTTCCAATTTTCAGTGGCAACTTGCCTACTGTCTGCTTTATTTGCTGCTGTTTTGATCCTGCTAGCAGAGCAAAGACTCCCTGAGAAGGAGGATGCCCAGAGAAGCTGTGGATGCTCCATCCCTGGAAATGTTCAAGATGGTCAATCTGATGTAGTGGAAGGTAGCCACAGCAGGGCTAGGAGTAGATGATATTTAAGTCTCTTTCAATCCAAACCATTCCATGATTTGATAGCTCTGACTGTCCACAGGCATGCTCCATGCTCCTCCTTGTGCCAAACACCAGCACTCATCTGTGTTCTGCAGC